CTAAATATTTTATTTTATTTTCAAATATATTTATTGATTGTGTGTGCATGCATAAGTATATTTTTAAATGAATAAATAGCTGAGAATAATTTGAAGGGGTATCATCACATTAATATGTTTTATGGAAATATTTTCTAACATGGAATTAGCAGGAATATAGAACGAAGTTAATTCTCTCTATTCTCTAGGTTGCAAAGGGTAAATGTTCACCAAATAGATAGTGCAAAGAGAAATTAAAGGAGGGAAAATCTGCTATAATAAAGATGACAAGGTGAGGTATTAGTGTAATTCGGCATAAACTGTAATGCCACTGACTAGAAAAATCAACCTCAGAAGATGTGGCCACCTTTAAAATGTTTTTAGAATTTGATTTTCATAGATTTGTTAATTTAAATTTAAAACGTTATTAAAATGAAGGAATTCTCATTTGAATCTAAGTACCATTCACCAGAGAGAAATATATTTTAATGAAACAATAGAAAATACTATTTTTATGTGTAAACCAGTGAACTGCCAAGAAATTTCTTTTTCTCAGCCCTTTCACAAATGTGAAAAGTGAAATAATATATATCACCTCCTTATTAATACTATAAACTGGTTTTTATAATATTTTATAAACTGTCTCATTGTATTTCAGATGGAAATTAAAGCAACCATATCATAAGAATTGCAAGCAAAATCTCTAACAAGGTCTAGGATACTGATAAACTATGTGTGTACATGGAGTTCCAATAATTGTGCCTTACTCTTTGAGTTCCAGAAAGTTTTGTTTTACTGCTTTGCTGCTTTCTAATATATACAGATCTTTAAATTTTTTTGAACACTTTCTCCTCGCTCCTGAAAGAAGAGAAAAATATGAGCAATAAAATGCTCATTTATGAGCAATAAAAATGAGCTTTCTTTTTAATATATGCCCTTACAAATGTTGCAAAACATTATTTCTATGGGCTTGAAATTCATTTGATTTGTTTTTACTTTTAGTAGTGAGTTGTAATCACAGGAGTGTGATTGTGTGAGTGTATTTGATTTTTCTTAAGTCTCTGTTTATGGTACTTATGAAGTGGCTTAAACATTCGTCACAAATGGTATCATAAGAATATTAAATGGGGGGTAGAAGGAAAAGAAGATAAGTGAAAATTATGAATTAGAATTTTGACAATTCCTGACCCAGCAAGAAACATTCAAGCTTCAATCCAGTCCCAGGATAAACTTCAGTGAAGTTCTATCTAGAAGTTGTCTAGGTGTTAAATGACCTGTAAGTGTGTGTTACGCTTTTGTTTAGTTGTCTGTTTAGAAACTGGCCAAACAGCAGAAACAACACTCGAAGGCAACACTTCTGTACAAATAGAAGACTGCATGCCTCCAGTAGCAAAATATCAAGCAATATATTTATTAAGTAATATATTGTACTTCACGCTGTACCAGAGAACTTGGAAAGAATATGACAACCCCAGCCACGACTCACTACAACTTACCGTGTCCTAAAAGAAAAGCATCATGTAAATAAGCAAATAAATTGCAAGATTATATATAGGGGATTGTCTGTGAGTGTGTGTGTGTGTGTGTGTGTGTGTGTGTGTGTGTGTGTATACAGCCATGCATCACTTAAATGTTAGGGAATCATTCTGAGAAGTGCATTAGGCAATTTCGTCATCTTACAAACATCATAGAGTGTACCTACACAAACCTGGATTATAAAGCCCACTACATTACTAGGCTGCACTGTGTAGCCTGACAGTCTTAGGATGCAAACCTGTACGGCATGTTACTGTGCTGAACACTGTGGGCAGTTGTAGCACAATTGTAAGAATGTGTTTATCTAAACATAGAAAGGGTACAATAAACATACAGTATAAAACACTAATAATGGTGAACTTGTACAGGATTCTTATCATAAATAGGGTTTGCAGGACTGAAAGTTGTTCTGGGTAAGTCACTGAGTGAGTGGTGTGTGAATATATGAGGGGTTAGCACCTTACCGTACACTACTATAAACTTCATAAACACTGAATACTTGGAATAGACTAAATTTATTTAATTTATATATTTATTTCAATATTTTAGAGGGAGCAAGTGGTTTTTAGTTACATGGATAAGTTCTTTAGTGCCAGTTACTAAGCTTTTGGTGCACCCATGGTAGACTTAATTTATTTTAAAAACTTTTCTTCAATAATAAGTTAACTTTAATTTATGGTAACCTTTTTTAGTTTATCAACTGAAAATTTTTTAACTCGTAACTCGTTTGTGATAACATTTAGCTTACAACACTCTTTGTACGATATACAAAAGGTTTTTTTCTATCTTTATTCTATAAGATTTTATCTTTTAAATATTTTATTTATTTATTTACCTTTTACACCTTTTTGTTAAAAACAGACATAAACACACACGTAAGTCTCGGCCTACAAAGGGTCAGTATCATTGGTATCATAGTCTTCCTCCTCCCTTCTGGTCCCTCCAGAAGGTCTTCAGGGCAGTAACACGCATGGAGCTGTCATCTCCTGTGAAAACAAAGGCTTCTTCTGGAACAGTTCCTGAAAGACCTACCTGAGGATGTTTTACAGTTAATTTTTCTAGTGAGAAGAAGTGAACTATAAAATAATGATAAAAACTCTAATATATTAAATACATTAACCAGTACGATGGTCATTTATTATCATTATCAAATATGTACTATACATAATTGTGTATACTATAGTTTATATGACTGGCAATGCTGTAGGTTTGTTTATACCAGCATTGCCACAAAAATGTGAGTAATACATTGCATCATGATGTAACAGAGGTCATCAGTTGGTAAGAATTTTTCAGCTACGTTATAATCTTATGGAACCACTGTGATTTAAGTGATCAGTCATTGACCAAAACATCATTATGTGGTAAATGACTGTATGCCTGTATGTGTGTTTGTATATATGCAAATATATATGTATCAGAAGAAATATATTCGTAATATTCTATCAGAAGCTAGAGATAAGAAAAATTATTTTCTACTTTTCAAGTGGGTGATTGTGTAATGGGAGGCTTCAAAAGAACAGTAACACTCCTCGCCTGCACCATTGTGGATGTGCACAATGGGTGTGTGATCAGTGCTGTAGAGCAAGTTCTGCAGGATAGGTAGAATATAATTGGATGATGAGAACACAGTTATTCTGGATGATGAAAAATATGTAGGTATGAATGTATGAAAATCGAGTACTATAATTTTGCAATTTTGGAGGAGTGAAGGATACTTAAAAGGAGTTATGATATGTTAATACTATCAAGACACGAGGGAGTCTTTCCCTCAATATCTTCTCTAAAAATATGTAGTATCACATTTTAAACAGTTAGATAATCAATTTAAGGTTTCACAAGGTTAAATACCACAGGAATTATTTCAAATATTGTACAACATTAAATATTACTTCTAGGTAGATCAAAAGGAGAAATTTCCCTTGATTTCTCAGCTGAATTTCTGCATGCTTTTTCCCCTATAAGGTGAAGAACAAAACATTTCTCAAGCAGCAATGCTATATTGAGAAAATGCCTTGAGCTAGAAAAAGAGAACTACTGTATTGAGGAAATATCTTGAGCTAAAAAAGCACTCAAAGATAAAGTACATCAAATCCATAGAATGTACAATATCAAGAGTAAACCCTAATGTAAACTATGGACTTTGAATGATAATGATATTGATGGTGAGGGGGGCTATTCATGTGGTAGGGAAGAGGAAGTGGTATATAGGGAATCTCTGTACCTTCCACTCAAATTTGCTGTGAAAAAAACTGTAAATAAATACTAAAGTCTAATAAAAATATGTGTGTATATTAGACTTTAGTTTTTATTTATAGTTTTTATCTAGTTTCTATATATGTATATATGTGCGTATATATACACACATTTTTATTAAACTTTAGTATTTAAGTTTTTATTTACAGTTTATATATATACATTGTATATATTCACACAAGAAAATAGAGTCAAAATATATTGAGATTTCACCCATTTTTTGCATTGTTTTACTACATCTTGCACCATAGTGCATATGGATGTATGTGTAAGTGTCTATATACATATATACGGTAGTCCCTTAGTATCCTGAAGGAATTGGTTCTAGGACTCTCCTCACCCCCAGCAGATACCAAAACCCACAGGTGCTCAAGTCTCTAAGAGAGAATAGTGTAGCCTTTGCATGTAACCTATGCATATCCTCCCATGTAATTTAAACCATCTCTAGATTATTTATAATACCGAATATAATGTAAATACTATAAAAATAGTTGTTATATTTTTATTACATCATTTTATTGTTTTATTATTTTATTGTTTTTTTTTTTCTTTTTCAAATGTTTTGGACCAGCCGTATAAATACATATTTACATATACAACACTTACCAAAATTTAGCTCTAACTTAATCTTGGTTAAGTTGTTCTTAGTGATTTTCTTGCACTCTCTAAATTATTTTCACTGAAACTGTATAACCTTTGTAACAAGAAAATAATCAAAATATTAATAAACAAAAAACAAATTACTTACCCAACATTTTTACAGCACCAGAAAAAAAAAAAAAAAAAAAAACAGGACCGAGTTTCTAGTGGAGATACCTATGACAGTTGATGAGAATAGAGAAAAGAAGTAAATCTGAGAGCTGAGAATAATCCTATGACTCCTCTACTGTACACTACATAGATCAGGGAGATTTGCCACTCTTACAATCTGTCTTCATTCTTAAATTGTGTGACGGTTTTCTTCTTGAGCACATTGCAGAAGAGTTCGTATTTCATATCACTCCAAAATATAAATTTCATATTCATTGACAATGACCTCCTCAAATGCTCTTGTACTCTTCAACAGTGATCTTTCTTTGTTCCAAATTAGTACACTGGAAAGCATTTAAGCTAAAGGTATTTAAACTGAAGGAAAGAAAAAACTATAAATGAGATGATTAAAGTATAACCTAGTGATTTATTGATGTAGCTTATTATGTAATTCTTCAGTTTTGTGTTATTTTTCCCAGCAACACTTTGTGATTTTCCAAAAATAAACCATGGAATTCTGTATGATGAAGAAAATTATAAGCCATTTTCCCAAGTTCCTGTAGGGGAAGTTTTCTATTACTCCTGTGAATATAATTTTATGTCTCCTTCAAAATCCTTCTGGACTCGCATAACATGCACAGAAGAAGGATGGTCACCAACACCAAAGTGTCTCCGTGAGTAAATGCCTTGATCATTACATGGATTTCTTTAAGTGAATAGAGAAAGATGTGCCAGACAAGATCGTAAGGTCATGATAATAACAGGGGCAGTGACCAGAGGAGCTGCAAAGATGGGAGACATAGTCCTTCTATTTTGTGGTGCCTCTTATGAGAACTAAATGAAGAATAAATATGTCAGCTGCCTTGCATTACCTAGAAATGCTCTATGCATTGAAATATGTTAATTTTAAACATGATAATTAATTATGATTAGTATATTTGACTGCTAATATTTCTTTACTAATATCATTTGGTAGCAGCCTGATCATAGCTTTCCTTTAAAGTAAGTCGATTTTATACATTTTCTGTTTTGGATTTACCATTCTCTTGCATATTGCAAGGTAAGGTTTAGTATTTTCACTTTTATATTTTTAATAAATCATTTCTTTGGACCTTCAAAGTGTAGCTATATTTATCCTCCAATAAATGTAGAGAACAGACTCCAATGACAACAGGTGTATTAAAAAAAAACAATGGGAGAGAGAATAGATGAGGCAACAAAGGAGATAATAATGATCTTTCTCCTTTTGTAGGAAATGTTCATGAGAATTGAGAGAAGTATTTATAAGAAGATATTGTTTTGTCCCTAGAAAAGTTTATAAACATAAAATATTTTATTATAACAACCATACAGCAGCAGCATGAAATATTAACTTTCTTTTATAAGTACATATATGGGAACAAAAAATATATTTCATCATATTACAGTAATACGACCAAATTCTTTTGAAAATATTTACACATGATGTCAGTTTTCGAAGTTTTCAACTCTTAATAAAATATTTTAAAATGCAGTTGAACTTTTTTTTGCCACTTTCATCTTGTACATTAAACAATTTTTGGTCCTTAGGAATATGTTTCTTTCCTTTTGTGGAAAATGGTCATTCTGACTCTTCAGGACGGACACATCTGGAAGGTGATACTGTACAAATTGTTTGCAATGCAGGATACAGCCTTAAAAAAAATAAGACCAACATTTCATGTGTAGAAGGTGGCTGGTCCACTCCTCCCAAATGCACCTCCACTAGTAAGCAAAATTCTGCTCTCTCAGATCATGGTATCTTTTGTTAATTTTTTAAAGAAATAAATATATTGTTATAGGTTAAATGTAGGTTTCACCACTACTTCTATCATTACTTGTTTGATTTTCAGCTCCAATTGCGTCTAAGTAGATGTGTAATAACATAGTTTGCCTACCTATGTAAATCAAATGTATGTGATAGGTAGAAATATTATGCAAGAATACACTTTGAAGACAATCAATTTTAAGTAGTACCTGTTCGGTATTTGTATTATCAGCTTAGTTAACAATAAATGGTTATAAAACTGAAGTAATAAGTGAAAATAAGTCCAATTCCAGTTAAAATGTCTTAAAAGAGAATTTTTACTATTTATCTTTATTTAAATTCGTATGCTTGAGTCAATAAAGCATCGTCTTCTAAGTTGTAAAACCTCCACACTTCTGAGACATATGTTTATTTGTGAGTGGCTTAGAATTTGGAAAACGATTCTTTTAGAAACCTGTGGTATAAGTGATGGCACCTCCGAGTCCTGTGTGAACTCTTGTAATTCTTCATCTTTATAGCTCTTCAGTAATTGTTCTTTGCTTAGCCCAATGCAGTTCCATCCTATGCATGCACAGCTCAGTATTCAACTAAAAGCTCAAGGAGCCTCATGAAAACTTCTATAGCTTTCTCTCTGCTATTATGTCCAGTAACTTCTGGGCACCATAGTCTCCAAGACTGACCTTGCTAATCCTAACTAAAGAAGACCACTATGTTCTTCTGGGTTTGCCCTCCCTGCACAGTCTAGAGAAGGGTCCCAGCAAACAGCTGGGGCTTTCACTGACTTTGCTTTATTATTTTGAAATATTGAGGGTTTTTTTGTTCTTTTTTCAGTCATCATGGTCCTGCACTGGGTGATTTCCAGCATTCTGAAATAAATTTTGTACAATTTTCTAAATTTTTTTTCAGTGGAATGATATGTTGATAGCAGCTACTCCATCCTATCAGGAAATAGAATCTGTGGTATGTTTTTCAAAAGATGTTATGTTATCAAATATTAATCCACATCTTCAGTTTTTAAATTTAACCATCTAAAGCTGGGCACAGTGATGTGCACCTGTAGTCCAGGCCACTGGCAAGGCTGAAACTGGAGATCAAAGCTTCGTTGAGCTATGACTGCAGCAGCGCACTCCAAACTGGGCAATAGAGTAAGACCCTTCCCCACTCGCAATACAAAACAAAGCAAAGGCAAATGAAATTTAAACTTCTAGAAATGAAGTCTTTTTATTTTTATTTTATTTTATTTACTTATTTGTATTGTACTTTAGGTTCTGGGGTACATGTGGAGATCATGCAGGATTGTTGCATAGGTACATATATGGCAAGGTGGTTTGCTTTTGCTGCCTCCATCGCCCCATCAGCCACATCCGGTATTTCTCCCCATGTTATCTCTCCCCAACCTCCCCAACACCTGCTGTCCCTCCCCTAGCCCCCCACAATAGACTCCAGTGTGTGATGCTCTCCTCCCTGTGTCCATGTGTTCTCTTTGTTCAACAACTGCCTGTGAGTGAGGCCATGTAGTGTTTGATTTTCTGTTCTTGTGTCAGTTTACTGAGAATGATGGTTTCCAGATTCATCCATATCCCTACAAAGGACAAGAACTCATCGTTTTTTATGGCTGCATAGTATTCCATGGTGTTTATGTGCCACATTTTCCTTGTCCAGTCTATCATCGATGGGCATGTGGGTTGGTTCCAAGTCTTTGCTATTGTAAACAGAGCCACAATGAACATACTTTGCATGTGTCTTTATGATTCTGCCCAGCCATCTTTTTAAAACAACTGGAGCTGTGATAGTTTTTTCAGTAAACAGTTAAGTCATGGTCTCTTTCAATTACAAGGGGTTGAAACATTATTAACATTTGCAAAAATAAAATAACAAATGTTACTAACACCAGAAAATTCCAGTGATTTAATAGAGTTCAAAATTCATAAGCTTCAGTTATGGTATATATACTTCCATGCTCTCTCTTGTCCATACTTGTTCATGTCAGGAATAAGCTCTCTTCATTTTGTGAGATGATGGCTATTGTCAGGCCAGCAATTATATTTTAGAAGCTTAACAAATTAAGTTTGGCCACCTGTTACCCATACAAGCTGGCTCTGTGTACAGTCTGTAAGATTCTGTTAGCCTTTGAACAATTCTGTTGCTTTGTGACACAAAAAATATCCCAGGCTTAACTCATGTTTTCCCTGCCACAGAACTGGAATCAGCCATACCTCCTCCAATAAGTCTTGGTTCCGTTTATTGGGCAATGACATTAAGAAACTAAGTTGCCAAAAAAAACTTGTTTCAAAATTTAGCACACTTTATTTAATCAGAAAAAGCATATATCTTATTGTTCAAGTTCTCAAAACATAGCTACCTTTCCCTTTCTGCCTGTTGGTTCCTAGCAAAGACCTGGAACCAACCCAAAGCACAAGACAACATATTGAGGTTATCTGAGTAGATGGAGGAAGTCAGTCTCCAAAGTGAAAGAATTCAGCAGAGCACTGTCTGTCCCAGGTTGAATGGTAGCTCAAGAACACTGCGGAGAGTTAATAAAGTTTCAGGGTAACTAGACTCCTAATGATATCTGCACAGTCTGTTTTTTCATGTAAGGTAACATCTTGCAAGTTATGGTAGTCCGTGTTGCAGGAATTAGTACAGAGACATCTCTTGGGGCCATTACTCCATTTACGCAACGGTGCAATAACCATATATGAAAAAAGCAGCTGGGAAATCGTACATCAGCCAAGATCAATTATTTTCAACGGCATTTTGTTTTTAACAGTTAGATAAGAAAAAGACTATAAACAACCAATAAAGAGCTGCCAAGCAAAATATTGGAATAAAAAACGGGGATTTAGGGATACATAAGGCATATTCTATTGGGATTTGGTATTTGCTCAAGTAAACTGTTATCAAACCATTAAAGTGCCAATAATGGTACATAAAATTAGCTAGTTTAAAAATATTTATGAGATTATTAATTAGAAAATATTTCAAATTTATTTTTGTTTGCTTGATTTATTCAGATTATTTCTTTTGTCTTGAATGTCAGTTATTTACATAACAATTAATATATAATTTTATAAACTAATTATTAGTGAAAGATGATAAATGAGAAAACTACACACATAGCCATATACATATCTATTTCTAATTGAATCAGAAGATATTCATAATGAGTTAGTATTTATGAACTTTAATTAATGATGCAGTTGTGTATAATGGAAAGATTCAAAAAACGTAGAAGATGAGGTTTTAAAAAAATTTTTTATATTTAGTTACCCTTTTGTAAAATTGGGAGTAATGGCTTTTTAATATTCCCTTCAATGTAACATTTAGTAGTTGTATCCTGTTTGGGTGTTTCACATGTATATATATATATTTTTTTTGAGATGGGATTTTCCTCTGTCGCCCAGGCTGGAGTGCAGTGGCGTGATTTCAGCTCACTGCAACCTTCGCCTTCTGTGTTCTAGTGATTCTACCGCCTCTGCCTCCCTAGTAGTTGGAACTACAGGCTTCCACAACTGCACCTGGCTAATTTTTGTGTTTTTAGTAGAAACAGGATTTCACCATGTTGGCCAGGCTGGTGTCGAACTCCTGACCTCAGGTTATCTGCCCACCTTGGCCTCCAAAAGTGCTGTAATTATAGATGTGAGCCACTGCATCTGGCCCACTTATCTACTTTTCATACATCATTACCATTATTTTGTTTTACAAAAAGTAATTAAATATGTTGCATTTTAATTTTGTTACTTGAAGAAATTTTTGTGACTTAAATGTGAAAGATCTTCATATTCTGCATTGTAAATATTAAACTTATTACTATTAAATAGCAAAATTAAAACTTATATTCCTAATTAAACAAATTAAATAATTTATTGTATAAGTAACTTCACAGGATTTTCTTATTACAATCCCGAAGAGATTCTCATACAAAATTTCACCTTGCTGTACAGTTTCCCAATTTGTCTGAAGTGTCTTAGATATATTTGTTGGGTATAAATAATTAGTTCACATGTTTCCTTGAAGGCAAGAATATATTTTATACTCCTCTGTATATGAAACCACTTTCATCTTATTTTTATATAACACACATTAAATTTGTTTCTGCAATTAAAATTCACATATGTTCATTTAATTTTGTTTTTGGAAACAGAATGTCATATTCCTATTTTAGAAGGAAATATAGATGCTCATCCAAAAAAGGAAAGATACAAAATTGGAGATGTGTTGAAATTCTCTTGCAGACAAAATCTTACAAGAGTTGGACCAGATTCAGTTCAATGTTACCAATTTGGGTGGTCACCTAACTTTCCAACATGCAAAGGTCAGTATTTATTTTAGAAGTATTGAAACAAGAATCTGATTTTTATAATAATGCCTATATGTTTCTATTGGAGCTTATATTACATCTATAATCTGACAAAGTGGGAAAATGGCAAAGGTAGTATTTTCTTTTGGAAGGAGAAAGGGTGCAAGTCTATAGTAATTGAGTTGCATAGATTATTTAGGTGTCCTTAATCAAGGAGTAATTCTACTTCTGTGTTTTAAAATACATAACAGGACTTTATAGGTCAAAATATAGTAGCTGGAATTGAGAAGTGTTAGGATTTTTCCATCTATCTCAATAAAAAATTCATACTTCTAAAAATATTGCATGAACAATGTTACAGTTTATTAAGTAATTAAGAAAGTAATTGTCATTGTATATATGAATTATTTATTAGAAAACAATGATGATTTGTACCTGCTTCAGATGGCACTATTTTTATCTAAAATGGCTTATTATATTATTTGAAGTATGTATTAGTCCATTTTCCCACTGCTGGTAAAGACATACCCAAGACTGCGCAACTTACAAAAGAAAGAGGTTTAATGGACTCATAGTTTCACGTGGCTGGGGGGACCTCACAATCATGGCGGAAGGTAAAAGTCACATCTTGAATGACAGCAGACAAGAGAAGGGAACTTGTGCAGGGAAACCTCCTTTTATAAAAGCATCAGATCTCGTGAGACTTATTCACTATCACAAGAATAGCATGGGAAAGACCCACCCCCATGATTCAATTACCTCCCACCAGGTTCTTCCCACAACAACTGGGACTTGTGGGAGCTACAATTCAAGATGAGATTTGGGTGAGGACACAGCCAAACCACATCAAAGTATTTATAGATATTAATAAAAATTATAACTATGCATTGTATATGTATATTATGCCACATATTTGGTAACTATTTACTTTTATGTAACATTCAGATTATTGACCTACTTAAACATCTTCAAGGGTACAGCTTAATATCCTAATTATAATAAACAGCCTACAAAATATTGGGAAAGATAGGCTATCAGGATGTTTAAATATAGAGAGAATAGAAGATTGTACTAAGAAAATATTATTAATTTGGTGAAATGTAAGGTATTTTGTATATGTAGGCAACTGTTTTTAAGAGATAAGCATTCTGAAGAATTTAGGACTAAAATCTCACTCATTTTCTTTAAATTACTTCACAAAAATAAATAAATAAGGCAAAGTGTAACATTTGTATACCTAGGTAATCAGTTTACAAGTGTTCATTCTGCATTCTTTCTCCTTTCATTTGCTCAAAATTGTTCATCATAAAAAGTGTCAGTATTTTAATAAATGAATACGGTCAATACACTATGTACATTGCAAAAAACACACCCTCCCAAAAATAGGAATGCAATATAGTAACTCCACATTTTGCTATACTTATAAGACCATTTAAACATTATTTATGGTTTCTTTATAATAGGACAAGTACAATCGTGTGGTCGACCTCCTCAACTCTCCAATGGTGAAGTTAGGGAGACAACAAAAGAGGAATATGGGCACAGTGAAGTGGTGGAATATGATTGCAATCCTAATTTTATAATGACAGGGCCTAAGAAAATACAATGTGTGGATGGAAAATGGACAACTTTACCCATTTGTGTTGGTAAATAAATATTAACATTTAAACAGAGCAGTTACTATTATTTTGCACTTATATATACATCCACATGTAAATAGAGTTAAAGTATTTTCAGGGTAAACATTTATTTTATTACCTTTTCTTAGAACAAGTGAAACCATGTGGATATATACCTGAACTCAAGCATGGTTCTGCTCGGCAGTCTGTCCCTCCCTACCAACATGGAGTTTCAGTGGAGATGAATTGCAATAATGAATATGTCATGATTGGAAATAACATGATTACCTGTATTAATGGAATATGGACAGAGCTTCCTCTGTGTGTGGGTGAGAAAACATTGCTAAACTTCATGTTTGATTATTTATAATTTTGATTGGGATTGCATAAAGTGTATAAATCTGGCTAGAATTGCAATTTACTGATACTGACTTTTCCTTTCACACACGAAAAATGTCAATCCATTTATTCAGGTCTTATATTGAACTTTGCCATATGATTTTATGAATTTCTTGTAATTACTTTACAAATTTTTTCACCAGTTTATTTGGGATTGTTTAGTTATGATGAATGGAAACTTTTATTAACTTATGTGCTTGAATAGTTATACTTTCTATATACAAGAATGTGATTTAATCGCATGTATTAATTTTGTTTCCAGTAACCTTGTTCAATTCCTGTATTAGTTCTAATAGTGAATTTGTAGACTGTATTTCTACAAATAATTGGAATCTAATTTCTTTTATTTCCTTGCTTTAACTCAGTTTTTACCTCAGCGTGTTCAAGATAGAACCACCTAAATAATAATCACGTAGCTTGATTTCTATTAAATTCCATTGTGTTTGGAGTTTCTCCTGAGGAGAAAAGTAGGGGACTAGGACCCAGGAACTAGGCATGATCCCTACTCTTTTTGTCCCCATAATTCTCTTTAGTCCTAATTTTCTGATTAGTTTGTCTGTTTCCTCCACAAAAGTAGTAAAATCCATTCCAGATTTTTCCTCCAGTCTGTCATTCTGTGCTCTACTCTTACCTTGTAGCCTCAGGACTTCCAGCCTTGACACTTCAGTACTTTCCCTGCACCTTCAGATCCTGGCCTCTTTTGTCCTATCTCTAGCAACCTCAATACATTAAGTCTCTCTCTCTAATTTTGAACTTCGAAGACAAGCAGACTTTCTGCTGCTGTTCTTCTCCTTACAGAAACTTAAACGGAACCGCCTCTCTCTCCATCTCTGTGACTTTTGGATTATCAATTGGCCCACCCATTGCTGGGAAAAATTACTGTAGGTGTCACCACGCATTGTGCCAGGCAAATACGTGGTTAGTGGCCATCTGTGATGAACTATTGTGAGAGAATGTCTTCCACTACCAGGGGCCAGAATTCTGTTATGAGAAGATGTAGATCATATATCTTCATGCTCATCAACTTTTATGCAAGGAGTATACAAACATCCAACCTCTAGCCCCATATGGGATAAATTAAAAATAGACACAATTGCAGGAAAACACTTACAAACACAGAAGTAGCAGAGCACACTCCATGTCTCATCATTCCATCCTTTTACACACTAAGGAAAAAGCTCCATAACTGTCTAAATATTTATGGGAAACAAGGAAGGAACGTAATAATAAGAACTACTTAGACAAGCAAGAGACTTATAGAAATGTACGCTCAGAAGCTAAGTGGAGATATTATCCCCTGGAATACTGTGACTGAATCAGAGTTTTTGCTGCATTTTTGAAATGTGGGAGTCATTGAACCTCAAAGGGCATCCAGATTTATCCCTTATTGATGCTTTGCTTTCTACAGACTTACTTATGTATTGCCCCTTTTTGTTATTTAAATGTTTTGAAGATATTTATTTAAGATGGCTTAGTGCAAAACAATTATATATGTGTACATTTTTGGAGTCTTTAAAAATTTATTTGTAATCTCATAAGAACTATCCTTCAGTCAAAACTCCCACCAAGAAACCCCATCTTGCACTTTCATTTCCCAGAAAACTTTCTGACGTACTTTTCTGTCATTTAAAGATGGGATACAGTTTTTTGTTTTCTTTTTCCTTTTTTTAACAGCATTGCCCATTTTATGCAATAAGATCAAGAATAATTTTTGTGATGTTGCTTAAAAGCATCAATTTAATTATGCTATCAATATTTCAGATATTTTATTAGCATAATCGTTTAATTTCTATTTAATATTATTCTGTGTAAAATTTTTTATAGCAACACATCAACTTAAGAGTTGCAAAATAGGAGAAGCTAATATAAGAACGTTGTTCAGCCTATTTGGGAAGGAATTTAATCACAATGCTGGAATACGTTACAGATGTTTAGGTATCCCCGGACACAGGCGTTCAGTCTGCATAAACGGGAAATGGACTCCTGATCTAGACTGCACAGGTAAGCCTTGTTTAAAACATTTTGTTTATCCTGTTGCTTCTTCACAAGAAAAAAAATTTTGAAATTAGAATGTTTTTAAATCAAGTATTTATTGTGGCATATAATTTCTAAGCTAATAGTAAAGTTTGAAACTATTTATAATATTCTTTCCAGACAAATATTATTATTCTTTAAAAGCTTTGGCTTGGCTAGGCACAGTGGCTCACGCCTGTTTAATTCCAGCCCTCTGGGAGGTTGACGTGGGCCGATCATCTGAGGTCGGGGGTTCGAGACCAGCCTGACCAACATGCAGAAAGCCCATCTCTACTAAAAAATGCAAAATTAGCCAGGCATGGTGGTGGATGCCAGTAATCCCAGCTACTCAGAAGGCTGAGGCAGGAGAATCGCTTGAACCCAGGAGGCGGAGGCTGCAGTGAGCCGAGATCTCACCATTGCACTCCATCCTGGGCAACTAGAGCCAAACTCCACCTCAAAAAAAGAAAGTGCCTTGGGTTTCTGGTAAAGAGGAGAGAGTAAAGCCATTTTTACTCTATTACAGTCTCTCAAAACCTGAAAAAAAAAAAACTGTAAGAAAAGAACAAAACTTAATCTTCAATGACTTTAACAAACAATTAAAACCCAAATTATGCCCTGTGAAACAAAACTAAGAGATATTGTCAATTCTGGACGAGAGAGTAGGCTGAGTAAAAAGCAAGCTGAGAAAGAAAGTCTATTTGAGTAATACATGGTTTCCCTAAGAATAAGTCTCACATTTCTCGAAGGCTTATATTCAAATCATTTAATTTGGGCAATAGGATTATAAATTACAAGTAATTATAAAATGGCACACCATATGAGATTAAAATAAACCAGAACTAGAGAAAACAAAGTGCTTATGAAAGGATGACAATAAAAGAGGGAAGACAGATTGCAGACTTCTCATCAGCAGTATAGAAAGCAAAAGAAAATAGGGTAATTTCTTCAAAGTGCTTAGTGAAAGTAACTGCCAACCAAGTGATCTGTATATAAATATAATTCACTAATGATTCCAAACTAAAGAAATTTTCAAACAAAGGAAGGACTAGGAGTTTACACATCAGGTCATAATTTGACAGAAATCATATCAAATATACATTAATGAGATGAAATGCTAATTTATAACAGAAAGTGTGATGTCATTAGAAATTGTGAGGAAAAAATAGTGGAATATATTGTTAAACTTAAATACATAAGGATTTCAAAAAGATGACTACAATTCGTTTAAAACAAGTGGAACATTTTCATGTTTATAAAATATTTTATTTTTATTATATATATTTATTTGAGGAAGAGAAATATTCTGACAATTGAAAGAAGCTTAAAGCCTTTTATGTGTCCATGAAATGTTTACTTACATTGGCCAGTCATTCTGCCCACAAATATTTTTCACAACTTCAAATTCTAAAGCCCTATAGATCACTTTTTATAACCACAAAAAATAACATTAAAAGTGGATAAAAAGTTATCCACCTCCCTACCCTTCATTTTGGGTACGGAAATAATTTACTTCCAAATAACCTAGTGATGTAATGTTTTAAAAACTAAGTCCTATATTATGAGTATAAGGATACAAGGTAAAACCTAAGAGATGCAACCTAACCAAAATTTAGAGTGGTGTGGCATTTGTAGTCTTAAACTTATCTATTTGGGGAAAAATATGTATGAATATATGTCTATATCCTAAAAAGCTAGGGGGAAAAGTAAATTCAGATATTAGAAGGAAAGGAAATAATAAAAGTAAAAGCAGAAGAAAATGAAATAGAACCTGTATTTCCAACTAATCCAAGCAATGAAACTAATGTTTTAAAAATATTAATAAGCAGAGCTGTCCAAACAAGTTGATTCTAATCAAGAATGGTGTGCATATGCAAACATTTCTATAAAGAGTAGATTTTAACTGAAATACAGGGACTAATAATATGATTTCAATTTTTTAAATAAATAGAAACAGATAAAGGGAAAATACTATGAAGCACTGGTATCAAAATAAGAAAGACTTATTTTAAGTTTTGAGAAAAGCTGGTGGGTAGTAATCTGGAAATTAGGTGAGAACATTATTAGATGGCAAGTATTTGTCACACACATTGCTCATGCTTGAGAAAGATAATAAGATTTCTAATTTTACACATCAGAAATATATGCATTCAGGAAGTTATTTGGTCAAAATCAAGACTGGAACTTGTTTCCAGGTTTTTATATCAGTGCCGTTTCAACTAGTCTTTGTCTACACTGGGCAGAAATTTCTAAAGAGAATGTCCAATTCTGAAAGGAAAATAAATTAGACAACTGAGATCATTATCTGTAATGTTCATTTACCTAAAATATAAAAACAATAATATTGTGTGACCTTTGAACAACTAACTCTTAGCTGGAACTTTGTTGATGAATTTTTTATTATTATTTACACATTTGAGATTACAGACACCTCCAGCTTCCCTGTTTCCCGGCGTTGAGAAATCTGAGAGGCTGATAGCAGGTAGTTGCTGAGTCCCTAGGTCGGCAGCACAGGGCCTTGATGCTCATTCAAGAGTCTTGATGATACTCAATAAGTATTCATTTTTGTGACTATGCATTTAAATAAAATATTTAAACCCCCAAACAGAAATTCATAAACAACAAAAATGTTTAGTTTACAAAATACCTAAACAAATAGGTAATAAGACACCTAAGTAGAAAAGCTTCTAAATAATAAATAATATTTAAAACTGACCAATCTATCAATAAAATTTGTCTAATATCCTGTTTTCATGTGCTCCTTATAGACTTTCTTCAAGCCCATGAGCCAAACTTTGCTGATCTAAAACGTATAATTTCAGGCTAATTTTATCTTCTTTTCCAGTTAATTACTGAAATAAGACCAATCACAAAAGACTGGTCTTGTTAATGGTTGACTGGTATAATGATGCAACAGGAATTAGGTAATTTAAGTTCACAATTTTCTTAAACCAGTAAATAAGCAGGACAAGTCATATAAAACATAAAATATGCATCAGTGCACCCCAGTCCCAGATATGTATCTAGATTTACACAGAAACAGCTTTTATTCAAATTTGCAGTAGAAATGCTATTCTGCATTTCTGGCCTGGGAAAACTAAAGAAAAATCCAATATAAAATTCCTATTTTTAGATAATATGCATGCTTTGGCTTACATATACTGACCTCAGGTTCTGTTCAAATAATTTATTCAATATCTGCTTATATAGCTATTATATTTTGTAATCTAGCTAAACCAGGAAGGGGTAGATACACATTCTTTCATCTTGATTTTTAAATGAAAATAGTATAGTGAAGAGAAACAGATGTCAAACTTTCAATGTGAAAACTTTGAAGGAAAGTGCCAGTAAACAGTAGCCACCACTGTGGAAAAACATGAGATGAAGGAGACTGCTGTAAGGGGCATGAGCCCAGGTCAGGAGGTTCAGAAAATGTGTTGGCATCCAAGTTAACCATTTAAAGGTTTTCTTAAAAATAAGCAAGCAACCAAAAAAGAAGTCAATTCCTAGTCCAACAGAGACATTCCAGTTAGGTTCATCACCAGCCATTTTCATGTTTACAGGAAAATGCAAATTATGGAAATCTTTTATTGAGATCTAGGGTTTAGTTATTAGGGTAGGCCTCAATTGGTGCTATCATAGTTATTTCTGATTGTTGTCATTTTTATTTTTAGTTCCAAATTGTTTGAATTAAATGTGCATAACTTTTTGAATAATATGGGTTAGTGAGAAAAAAATTTAGAACAATTCATTTGTGAATTATGCAAGAGAATTGACAGGGATAATGAATAGGAGATACAGGAGAACATCTGAAAATTTTTAAACTAATGGTTATAACAAAAAATGCTCTTTAAACTGTAAACTATAGTGACACAAAAAACATTTGTTATTATAACATTTATGTATAGAGAGAGAGAGAGAAAGAAAGTGCTAAATATAGTTTATGTGTGTTATTGAATGTTCCATTATCCTGAAACACTACCCCGTTGAGCTGTTTTTTTTAGCTTTTATTAATAATATAATTTAATTTCAACATTTTATAGAAAAAGAGGAACTCTGCCCACCACCACCTCAGATACCTAATGCTCAGAATATGACAACCACAGTGAATTATCAGGATGGAGAAAAAGTAGCTGTTCTCTGTAAAGAAAACTATCTACTTCCAGAAGCAAAAGAAATTCTATGTAAAAATGGACAATGGCAATCATTACCACGCTGTGTTGGTTAGTAGTTTATTTCTAAGTAATTTCACTTAAGAAGAGGTTACTACCCACCTATGCTTTATCTAAAGAAAAGGAAAAAGAACTTGAGACTCATCTATTTCACTGTACCCTGAAGCATTAAATTGTTAAGTACCCAATTCTGTCATTAAAAAAAGAAAAGTTTCTCTAAGAGTTATCTCCAACAGGGTACATAGAAGAAACAAGTTTGAAATTTCTACATCTTTTAAAAAATCTTTTCTATCGTATTTTTACTGTACCTTTTCTATGTTTAAATATGTTTAGATATGCAAATACTTACCATCATGTCTGAAAGGCTTATAGCATTTAGCACAGTAGCATGCTGTACAGGTTTGTGGCCTAGGACAGTGATATCCAACCTTTTTGGCACCAGAGACCTGTTTTGTGGAAGACAATTTTTCCATGGACTAAGGAGCATTGGGTAATGGTTTCGGGATGAGACTGCTCTACCTCAGATCATCAGGCGTTTGAGTCTCATAAGGAGCAAGCAACCTAAATCCCTTGGATGTGCAGTTCACAGTAGGGTTAAAGATCCTATGAGAATCTAATGCCCCGGCTGATCTGACAGGAGTTGGCATTCACACAGTAATGTTCGTTTGCCTGCCACTCACTTTCTGCTGTGCAGCCCAGTTCCTAACAGACCACAGAGGGTACCAGTCTGTAGCCAGGGGTTTGAGGTCAATAGGAGCAATGGACTGCACCATATAGCCTACTACCAGGTATGTAGTAGCAACATTACCTAGGTGTGTGTAGGCTCCATGATGCTCACACAAGGAAAAAAGAGCCTAATGACACATTTCTAAAAACATATTCTTCTCATTAAGTGCTGCGTGACTATATTTCAAAAGCAATTTCAAAATATTATTTGACAATACATCAGATATGTCAAAGAGTGCTTAGAGTTGGACAAGATGCCTGATAATTGAACAATGTATTTCGCTAAATAAGACCATTGGTAATTTTGCCTAGAGATATTTCCATAGGAGGTAAGTCACTGCACATTCAAGAAAGAATGTGGTATGATAAAGTAAGATCATGGAGGATGGGAAATAAGTAAATGTGTTTGAAAGGGAATAAAGAAATGAGGCAGTTGCTGGATAGAAGATACAGATACAGTGACGTTTTACCTTACTGAACTGTGACATTTTCAGCATGTTTCTAGACTGTGAATGATTAAGTTGAGACGGAGAAATTGATGTTACAGAAGAAAGGGGAGAATTCATGGAGAATGGTGTTTTACTAGTTAAAAAGTGAATCTAGTGTCCTCATGAAGTCGATCTGAGAAAGGGTCAGTAACTCAATGAAACAAGTCATTTTGGATAAGATTACTTATTTAGTGATTTTGTATTTATGTTCTTGGTGACATATAAAGGGAGATCAGTCAGTACAATGGAAAGTATTATGGCCAATATTAGCATGAAGTTGAAACATTTATTGATAGGGAAAGATGCCTTTGGTATCAGAAAAGTAAATGCAAAAGAGTGTGTCTGCAATTCGTTTTGAGTAAAACTACAAGTTTATGATCATATATTAGTTGGTATATGCCATCTCCATAAAGTAACAAATACCCTGAGACTAGGAATTCTAAGAAAGCTATTTACTTTTACCTTTCCTCTTTAAATAACAATTGAATATTAACAGGTGTAGGAGGAACCTGGACCAGAAGTTTACTCACCTGTCTCTCCTGCCTTAAATAAAAAGTATTCCCAGTATCCTATGTGAGCTTCACTTTAACATGAAAGGAGCTATATGTTTTGAATCAGACTTTACGACAGAAATACTGTAATCATTTGAATTTTCAGACACCATATATTAAAGATATGACATATGATGCTTTATTATTTTATTTTGTTTAAACTAACATATTGACTGTTTCTCAATAAATAAATGCTATTTTCCAGCGTCTACAGCATACTGTGGGCCCCCTCCACCTATTAGCCATGGAGATATCACGTCATTCCCATTACCAGTATATCCTCCAGGGTCAACAGTGACGTACCGTTGCAGGTCCTTCTATGAACTCCAGGGCTCCGTCACTGCAACATGCAGGAATAAACAGTGGTCAGAACCACCAAAATGCCTAGGTGAGTTCATACTACTCTCTTGGAATCTGAGATTTAATATTTATCATATAATTTTAAAGGACTAATTTCATAGAATAATCTTTACTTAAGTTTCATTTAGATGAAATCTTTCCTGCCAAATGTAAATACATACAAAGAAATGTCTGAAAAATCTGCGTTAAGAAAGTGAGAAAAATTTCTTTAAGAACTATAAAGAAATAGTTTCAGTGGATGCTAAAAAACAACAACAAAACAACAAAAACAAAATGAAACTAATCCGCCTCTAATGTCCAAATAAATAAATAAATAAATAAAATTCTAAGAGAACTACATGTGATAAGGTGCACTATGAAACTCTGTAAATAGAGTCCCAAGCTATTTATGGGGCCTAGTCTCATAACGTCAAATATCTTCATGTTAGAAGTGTCTACCTGAGAATTTCTCGGAGACCGTTTGAAAAACATTGGTCTAGGAAACTGTCATTTAATAGTGTAAAAGGTTCCACTTATAAACCTGAAATCTTTCCCTATTAGAAGTCCTAGTTCAACACTACTGACATGGCTTTTTACTTCCATGTTGCCAGAATTTCTAGGTGGGGAGATTGAAAATCTGGAAGAGTTGTGGAGCCACTTTCCAAATCTTCACTACCCCTTCTTTTTACCTTATTTTCTTCTGCTACACAATAATGCCAATATATATATTCAATTTCCACAAATTCATGTCTACTTTGTGGCATTAAAAAATGAATATAGTAGAGTCCTTATGAAAATCTGGAGAATCACGTTTAGGTTTTAAAAGGAGATTCTTTTACTGGTCATGACAGACTAAAAGGGACAAAATACAAAGAATATGAGCTTAATTAATAAGACCAGTTATGGGAAAAGCACGAACGTCAGTTTATTCCAAACTAAGTGGATGAAAACTGGAATTTCCATGAAGCTCTTCTGTCTCCTAGTATCCGAAAGAGACACCATGATAATAAGGATCTGTTCCTGCAACAGTTCTCATTATTGCCCAATGCCTCGATTCACTAGGGTAGACCAGAAGCTCCTTACAGTCTTGAGACTTTATCCTTCTGATGATGTTTCTTTCTTCTACCTTTTGTAGTAACAAAATACCCCGATGCCACTATGGCCTATACAGTGCTTCAAACCACTGCTCACTCTATGTGAGTCCCCTCTCCTAGGATATCATTATAATTGCACGGGAACTGAACTCAGATGCTGTCGAATTATAATAAGGCAAAAGTATCATCCAAACAATTTTGCTACAATGAAGAAAAACTAGGTTTCAAAGGTAACTTCTAGGATTTAAGCTGGAGTCATTGATGGATAGACAAAAATGCCATTATCTAATATTCTAAGTACAGCAAAGTTTTAGATGGTCTAATAATTTAAAATAGTCAGAAATTATATGGGCAGTGATCATAAAATAAATTTACAAAAAGAACAAAATTGTAACTTAAAAAGTGTGTACCATGTTGACAGAGTTTGCAGGAAGGGCATTCTAGCAGAAAGGAACAATATTTTGAACAATAAGAAACACAAACACACAATGACAGAAACCACAAAAACAAGCAAAAAAAAAAAATCATAGGTATCTAGACAATTAAAGGAAAGATGATGTAACTATGAAATGGAAAATAATTTTATTTCCCATGTGATTAGACAGCTCTGAAGAAGGAATATCAGAAATATATTTCTTTGGCTGATTTAAGGTACTGAATGAAGTAGGGAGCCATTCCATATTTGTAATGGTAGTTTTTTGATGTAGTCTGTCTTTTTTTTTTTTTTCTTGAGTCTGACTCTTGCTCTGTCACCCAGACTGGAGTGCAGTGGCATGATCTTAGCTCACTGCAACCTCCACCTCCTGGAAATTCTCCTGCCTCAGCCTCCTGAGTAGCTGGGATTATAGGCACGCACCACCATGCCCAGCTAATTTTTGCATTCTTAGTAAAGATGAAGTTTCATCTTTATGAAACTTGTTGGCCAGGCTGGTCTCAAACTCTTGGCCTGGTGATCCACTTGCTTTGGCTTCCCAAAGTGCTGGGAATACAGGCGTGAGCCCCTGTGCCCAGCCTGATGTAGTATCTCAGAATAATCGGTTGGGTAAGAACATGTGCTTATTTTAAACTGAGAAAACATGCAGTATGTGGAGTTTGTTTATAGCCCTGCCAGAGATAGATTAGGGTTTTGACTAGAAAGTAAAAAAACAGGAACCAAATGAAAAAGGAGTTAAGGATAATTTCAAAATTTCTCGATTTATGGAGAATATTCTCAGGTGCTTAACACATAAGAATTTTTACAAATTAATAAAAAATCAGTATAAAAATTCTGTAAAGTATGTAAACGGAAAGTGAAAAACATACGACAAACATGAAAAAATGCTTGTCTACACCAACATAAAATTTCAATGAAATGGCAATGTTTGATTAGAAAATTGGCAAAAAGAAAAAAATACATAACATAAAGGCTTGGCAAGAATGTGGGGCGTTAAGCACTCTAATATACATACAAGTATATAATTACACATATGTATATAAATACATGTTACATATCACATGTATTACATGTGTAATATATCTATATGTGAATATATGTGTGTAACATACATGTACACATACATAATACGTGTACACTATAAGTATACATATATATGCCTAGTGCACATAATATATGTATACATGGTATTTATATTATATGTAATACATAATATATAAATGCATGTTTATGTTAGATATACATTGTATGTTAACATTATATTTATAAAATTAACATACATATAACTGTATATAATATATGTATGCACATACACAAATAATATATATGTATACACATGTTACATATATGTATATATGTATATAGTATATCTTACATATCCTATATATTACAGATTACATATGTACTCTTACATATAATGTATGTTACATATATGTTACAAATATTTAGCATATTATATGTCATATAAACATATATTTTAAATATTGTATGTTTAAATTATAAAATATATATAATTATATAATATAAATATATACCTAACATATGTACAAACTGTATATAATATTGTATATTTTATATAAATTATTAATTAGGCCAAACTCTTTGAAGCATAGTTTGGGACTAAGCCTCAGATTTTAAAAATATATATCCTTTAATCTAATGGTTTTATTTCTGGAAAATTACTCTATACATGCATTCTTGCAAGGAAGAATATATGTACAAGGTTATTCATATTCTCATTGTAATAGTAAACCATAGAGACTGCCTAAATTTCTATCAATAACCTTGTGAGTCGAGTATTAACAACTTATGTCTACAGATGAAGAAACTAAGGCACGAAAGAAAGTATTTTGTTCAAATCACATGGTCGGTATTTGGTTGAGCTAGGATTCAGACACAGGCAATCTGGTTGCAATTCCATGTACCTAAGTCCTATGCTATATGGTCACTCATGTGTACCAAAAAGTCAAGAGGAAAATAGATTGCTCTCACCTGGAAAGGCAGGGACTGGTCTGTCATGTGTTATCTGGGAAATACGTGGTAACATATCCAAAGATCTCCTGAGCATGGAAGAATCTTAAGTACAAGCAGTTTTTATGGTTGCCACTTCCTAGAATGGCTCCGCAAATTCAGCCCTGGGCTTATTTCTGCATCTTCTGAACAATTTCTGTATCAGAGATTATGGCCTTAAGAGAACATGCTGTTTAGTAGCATCAGAATGGGTTATTTACTCAAGAAATATTGTCTCTCAATTTAAAAAATGCTGATTTTAAGAAAGAATGAGTGACATCTGTGGTTAGGGAAGAAAACACTGTTTTTCTACAGAAATCAAGGTCTCACAAAAGTTAAGATTCACAAATAATTACATTATAAAAAGGGATGTCTCAACAACAACATTCATGCTGGTAGAATTTTTAGTAAAGTATAGCAATTAAGAACTCAGGCTCGGAAGTCATACTGGTAGAATCCATATTCTGGCTCAAAGCACTTACTAAACTGTGTGACCTTGGGAAAATTTCTCTGAGAATTCATTTCCTCATATGTAGCCCATACACAGTGCTAGAAACGGTACCCATAATAACTTAATAAATATTGTTTTTCAATAAATATTAATATATTTTCATCATCTTATTTAATTCCAAAATATTCTTAAATACAATTTCACTATTTTATGAAAGTAAAGGTATTTATTTATTTTATTTTACCATTTCTTCTTTTAGAACCATGTGTGATATCTGGAGAAACTATGGACAAAAATAACATACGGTTAAAATGGATCGGCAGTGAAAAACTTTATGTAAAAACAGGGGAGGCTGTTGAATTTGTGTGTAAATTCCCATATCAAGCGAAGAAATCATCACCATCATTTCGAGCAATCTGTCAAGAAGGGAAATTTGAATATCCCATATGTACGAAGCTAGCATATTTTTCCTGAATATAGTCATTAAAGTTATCGTACATCTATGCTAAAAGTAGCCATTATATAGCCAATTCTGTAGTTACTGCTTTTATTCTTTCAGGTGTTGTTTAACCCAGTTTTATTTAGAACTCTGGACTTTTAGAGTTTCAGAAATTTAAAAGCTGAGAGAATAATGTTTCACTGAATAGGAGGGTGTCCTAGTCCATTTCACGTTGTTACAACAGAATATCGTAGACTGGGTACGTTGTAACCAACAGTTTGTTTCATCAATCTAAAAGTCCAAGATTGAGGGGCTGCATCTGGTGAGGGTCTTCTCAAAGCATCATAACATGCTGGAAGGCATCACATGGCAAGAGAGCATGAGTGAGAGAAAGAGAGAGGGAGGGGGCAAACTGATCCTTTATAGACACCACTCCTCAGGTAACAATCCAATCCCACCGTAACAGCATTAATCCGTTCAAGAAGGCAGAGCTCTCATGACCTAATCACCTCCTGTAAGTCTTAGCTGACAACACTGTTGCATTGGGAGTTGTTACCATCACATAAATTTTCCGGGACACATGCAAACTACAGGAGATAGCCATGTTATTCCTGGGCAAATCACAATAGGAGAAATTTTATTCACAAATACTCACAGAAACAGTAAATGTTCCCACTTCAGTACTTAATTCATCTAATCCCTTCCATTTGTCTCAAACTTATAAGATAACTTTGAAGCTTTCTGAATTAACTTTATTTGAGAGAAAATGCAGATGTTATTTAGTCTCTATCTTCAAGTTATTATCACTTAAAAACCTGCAAATCCTGTCAAATTTTGTGGTTGTAAATTCATAAATATTTATAAATCCTCTAATGTAAGTCTAGCTACCGATCAAATACTGAATACCCTTTCAAGTATTAAATGCACCATCTTCTATAAAAAGTAGAAGACTTTGAAGTTTTAACCAGTCCTTCTGTGGAGCTTCTAATCTAGACAAGGGGTAATATAGACATATAAAAAGGTGAAAATTATTAGGTTACAAAATTGCATATATATATAATTATCTAGATGTATATATATGGTTATAGAAGAATGAGTGAGAGAAATACAAATGATGGTTTTAAAAATTTATGTGATTTTGATTTAAAAAAATTAAAATAGGCTGGGCACAGTGGCTCACTCCTGTAATCCAGAACTTTGGAAGGCCAAGGCAGGTGAATTGTTTGAGGCCAGGAGTTCCAGACCAGCCTGTCCAACATGGCAAGACCTTGTCTCTAGTAAAATACAAAAATACAGCCAGACTTGTTAGTGCACACCTATGATTCCAGCTACTTGGGAGGCTGAGGCTGGAGTATCGCTTGAACTTGGGAAGTGAAGATTGCAGTGAGGTGAGATCATGCCACTGCACTCCATCCTGGGTGACAGAGCAAGACTCTGTCTCAGAGGAATGAAAAAAAGAAAGAGGAGAGAAAGAGAGAAAGACAGGAAGCAAAGGAGGAAGGGAGGAAGGGAAGGAGGGTGAGAGGGAGGGAAGGAGAGGGAAGGAAAGAAGGAAGGAGGGAAGGAAGGAAAGAGGGAAGGAGGGAGGGAGGGAAGGAGGGAGGGAGGGAGGGAGGGAAGGAGGGAGGGAGGGAGGAAAAGAGAAAACAGAAAAAGAAAGAGGAAGAGAAGAAAGAAGGAAAGAGAAAAAGGAAAGAAAAAGAAAAATTGAAATAAAATATTTTCAAATTCTTCATATTTTCCCACATTTTACATTATTCGTTTTGAATGTATATTACTTTTATATTCAGAAGAGAGTGATCAAAACGGTCACTAAAGAACAAGGCAATAGAAGGTGAGTATAAAGACCATGTTGGTCATGTTGCTAATTTCATGCAACAATTTAGTTATTTTTTGATGTACCATAGTTTGTGAAAATACTACACAGGAAGTAGAAATATACTTCAGAAATTCCTGTATTTCGTGCAGCATTTCTTAGTTAAAATATTGTCTGGTCAGAAGGTTTTTTAAAGTATCCTGAGGGACGGAGTTTTCAGTGAATCAAGATTGTGCCACGCACTTCAGCCTGGGTGACAAAAGGAGATTCTGTCTCAAAAAAAAAAAAAAAGTTTTTTAAAGTATCCATTAAAAATATGACTATTAATACAGGTAAAAATTAAGACAACATATTCATCACCACAGATTTGACAATGGATTCTTAGATATCACAGCAAAACTACAAACAAGAAAATGCAAAGTACAGAAATTCGATTGTCTCAAAATTTAAAATTTCATGCTTGAAAGGAAACTATCAAAAAAGGAAAATAGAACTCACACAATGGAAAAAATATTTGCAAAATTGTATATCTCATAAAGAGCCTGTATCTAGAATGTATGTAAGGAACTTTTACAACACAAAAGACAACACAATTTTAAAATAAGCAAAGGATTCAATTAGACGTTTTTCTAAAGAAGATATATAAATGGCCGATAGGCACATGAAAAGATGTATAACATCATAAATTATTAAGTAAATGTGAATCAAAACCACAGTGACATAACACTTCACGTTCTCAAAGATGGGTATAATTAAGAAGTCAGACGATACCAAATGATGTCAAGGAAATTGGAAGCAACATACACTGCTGGTGGTAATATAAACTGGTTTGGACAATTTGGAAAACAGTCTGCAGTGATTTTTAAAAGTTAAACAATAGAATTGCCATTAACTCAGCAGTCTCCTCCTAGATACGTGCCCAAGATAAATTTTTTTAAATGTGCTCCCCAAACAATTGTACATATATGTTTATAGCAGCATTATTTGTGTTGGCCAAAAGGAGGAAACAACCTAAATGCTCATCAATTGATGAATGAGTAAACAAAATGTGATATGTCCAAACAATGGAATATTATTTGGGCATGAAAGGGGAATGTAGTAATAATAGATGCTGTAACATGGATGAACCTTGAAAACATTCTGCTACGTGTAAGAAGCAAGTCACAAATGACAACATGTTATAATTCCATTTTTATGGCATTTCCAGAATAGGCAAACATATAGAAACAGAAAGTAGATGTGTGGTTGGTAAGGGCTGGAGCTGATCAAGAGAGGTTACAAGCTGGTAGCCAAAGTGTACAGGATTTCTTTCTGAGGTGATAAATATTCTAAAGTTGGTTGTGGTAATTGTTGTAAAACTCTGTGATTATACTAAAAAAATAAGACTTTAAATGGTACCCATTAAGTGGGCAAATTGTATGGTATGTAAATTATATCTCAATAAAGACATCACGAAACATAGTGGTCAATGTTTAAAAATCATGAGAAGGATACACTGGAAATTTAAAAACTAAAAATGATTTTCAAATTTAGGATTAGTATCAGAATGTAGAAAAAAATATTTGTGGTTCAAGAAAAAAATAAGAATTTGTTACTCACATTTGCTATTCATTTAAACAGCTGGCTTCATGTCTAGGAAGAAGGCAGGTAACAAGTTCTCAATTCTGAGGGGGAAAACTTGAAATAGAAATGTTACCTAAAACTTAAAAAAAAAAAAAAAACCCATAAAAGTGTTTTATTCAGAGTGCAATCCATAACCTAATTTTATTTTAATTTAATTTTAATTTTGATTTTTGTAGTTATAAGGCCTTGCTGTTACCCAGGGTGGTCTCAGACTCCTGGCCTCAAGCCATCCTCCGTCTCCCAAAGCGTTGAGATTGCAGGCAAGGGCACCACACTGTTCCTGTAACAATATTTTAAACTTGAACATTCCCTTTCAGTTTCTGAGCATTTTTCTAAGTTTCTCAAGCTATTTTGTGACACATTCCAAATCAAGGTGTTTGGGCAGCAATATAGATCAAGAACTGTAATCAGAAACATAGAAGCATAATCAGGAGAAAGAGGAATTATAGAAGCCAAGAAAAAGCGGTTTTCCAAGAAAGAGGTCAGTAGTGAATATTCACTGTCACAGAGAAACCTAGTACAGAGAGATCTAGTGAAATAAAGACTGAAACATATCTGTGTTCCCGAATTTTTCAGAATAAAGTAAATGGATAATAAATGTAGAAGGCAATTTTCAGTTAGTTGAGAAGTTATTTACTACATATTATTTATTGTTATTTATATTTATTTCATCTGTATCGTTCTATTTTAGTTCTTTATAATTCAGACTTTTATTTTATTTACTATTTTTGTATTTCCTAGTTCATTAAGGTTTATATTTAGTTGCATTAATTTCTCCCTTTTTCTCTTTGGCTTCCTTTATTGTTCTTTCTTTAGTTTTCAGATTTATTTGTTTAGAATTATTTATTCTCATTTTTATATTGTTGGACATATTTAAGCTAATATTTTACTCTGAATACTGCTTTAGTTATATCCTACTAATTTTGATTGCCAGGGAAATGTACAAACCGTTTTATTTTGCTTAAGTTTTAAATGTGTTGCACTATGATTAGAGAATATGACCTATATCAATTTATTTGGAATTTAATTAGATTTTCTTTATGATCAAACATGTATGGAAAGTTTTTATGACTATTTTATGTAGGCCTAAAAATAAGTGTATTCTTTATTATTAGGGTACAGTGTTGATATATATTCATAAAATATAAAGTATTGATTATTAGAATCTTCTATATCTTTGACTAATATTTTGTTCACATCAAATATTTTAGACTAAAAACTTTATTAGATTTTCTTCCTCTTTCCTGTCTTATATAGTTTCTGCTTTATTAAATTTACCATTGCATTAATTTATTATAGATACTTATAACTGAATTATGTCTCCTTTTGCAATTAAGGTTTTATAAAAGGTCCTTCTTTGATTAATTTATTGTTTGTGGAAGGATTTTCACTTTATCAAGCCTGATATCCTCAATTTTCATTTGTCGTTTAAATTGGTTGTACTTTTAAATGATTTACTTTTTTTTTTTAAGTACAGTTTTGATGTAGTAAACATAAATTAAAATTTACCTGGAAACCATCGTTCTCAGCAAACTGACACAAGAACAGAAAGCCAAACACCGAATGTTCTCACTCATATGTGGGTGTTGAACAATAAGAGCACGTGAACTCAGGGAGAGGAGCGTCACACACTGGGGGCAGCTGGGGGCAGGTAGGGGAGAGACGGTGGGGGGTGGGGAGGGAGGGGAAGGTGGAGAGCGATAACATGGGGAGAAATGCCAGGCATAGTATGCACCTAAAGTTAATAAGTAAATTAACAAAAAAAGTTCCCATCCTAATTATTTTTAAGTGTACAGTTTAGTGGCATTAAGTACATTCCCTTTACTGTGCAACCATGACCAGCATACATCTCTAGAATTCTTTTCCTCTTGTAAGACTAAAGCTCTGTACCCACTAAACAACTTACCATTTCCCTGTCCTTCCAGCTTCGGGCAACTACCATTCTACTTTCTGTCCCTATAAATGTGTCAAAGCTAGGTATCTCATAAGAGTCAAATAATACTTTTAATGCAATACCATATAATATATTTTCTTATTGTAACTGACTTACATAATTTAACATGATCACCTCAAGTTAATGTCTTACTGTGGTTTGGGTATGCATTGCCCTAATCATTACTGTGGGACATCTTTTCATGTGTTTCTTGGCCATTTATATGTCTTGACTGAAGAAATGTCTATTTATATTCTTTACTCATTTTTATATTGTGTTATTTGCCCTCCTAGTTTGAATTCCGAGAGATTTTTATACATTCTGGATAACAATCATTTATGAAATATGTGATTTTTAAGTATTTTCTCCTCTTTCCTGGGTGGCTTTCTCACTTTGCTGATTGTGTCCTTTGATCATTACTCAGTGTACTTTTTTCTATCCCTTCTTTTAACTATTTTGAAGAAGTTAGTTTTAGTTGTGCCTTTTGCAGACAATATTGAGCTGGGTTTTGCTTTGGAACCAAATAAGAAAATCTTTTTCTCTTCTAATAGAAGATTTAAGTTGTTTATAAGAATTTTATAGGTTTTAAAAATATCTATAGTGTGTGCACATATAGCTTTATAAAACTTTTCACTATATGGTCTATTTTCATTGTTCATCATATTGTTGCTATTCCTGCTGTTGCAGTAGTTTTTGCATTTATTTTGCTATTAGGAAGAAGGTATTTTTAGGTAGTTTATTTATGTTATAAAATAATACCCTACTTTCACAGGTTTGGGGCAATGTTTATTTGTTGCTATCATAAAAATAAATAAATAAACAAAATTGGCTTACAACTTCTTTCTTTCTTTTCCTTCTTTCCAACTTCTCCATCATCTAACTTTGTTCAGTGTTAAGATCTTTCTTGGCCGGGCGCGGTGGCTCAAGCCTGTAATCCCAGCACTTTGGGAGGCCGAGGCGGGTGGATCACGAGGTCAAGAGATCGAGACCATCCTGGTCAACATGGTGAAACCCTGTCTCTACTAAAAATACAAAAAATTAGCTGGGCATGGTGGCATGTGCCTGTAATCCCAGCTACTCAGGAGGCTGAGGCAGGAGAATTGCCTGAACCCAGGAGGCGGAGGTTGCGGTGAGCCGAGATCGCGCCATTGCACTCCAGCCTGGGTAACAAGAGTGAAACTCCGTCTAAAAAAAAAAAAAAAAAAAAAAGATCTTTCTTAGTGTTCATATTGTCTCTTTTAAATATGTTTAGAATTCTACTATTCCATTTTAGCTTTAAATTTTATTATTTGACTACCACCTATAACCTACTAAGGAAGAAATGAAGGGAAGGAGGGACAGAAGAAGGATAAGTAAAAGAAAGAATACAAGGAGGATAAAACAATGGAAAAGTCCACCAATGAAAGAATAAATAAATTATGCTACCTCTAGCTTATGAAATGCTATTCAGTTATTATAAAGAATAATGTCAACCTATATATGTTGACATGACAGTGGTTTATTTTATTTTGGGTAAAAAAATAAGTCCTACAACAATATGTACAGTATGATATGTAATATGTAGCCCACTTATACATAAAAAGCAATGTGTATGTAAATACATACTTAAGTGTGTATATTTACATCTGGGAAGAAACAGAGCAAAATCTTTACAGTGCTAATCTCTGGACTGAGGAAGTCAATCGGAGGTATTACAGAGAATAAGGAAAATTATATGCCTAATGTTATTTATATTTGTATTGTTTGAATTGTTTTACAATGTCAAAGAGCTGCTCTTTTATTTTATGAAAATAATAAATACTTTAAAATGGTAATTTAAAAAATATCTTGTCATAGAGGAATTTACTTGATACTAAGTAGATACATTAACTTTGTATTTTCTCATGAGTTGTTTCTAAAGTACATAATGACAAATTAAAATGCCTGTCAAATTGAAACCTTGCATATTGTCTATTAACCAGTCTTTTTTTTTTTTTTTTTAGATGGAGTTTCGCTCTTGTTACCCAGGCTGGAGTGCAATGGCGCGATCTTGGCTCACCGCAACCTCCGCCTCCTGGGTTCAGGCAATCCTCCTGCCTCAGCCTCCTGAGTAGCTGGGATTACAGGCACGTGCCACCATGCCCAGGTAATTTTTGTATTTTTAGTAGAGACAGGTTTCATCACGTTGACCAGGATGGTCTCGATCTCTTGACCTCGTGATCCACCCGCCTCGGCCTCCCAAAGTGCTGGGATTACAGGCGTGAACCACCGCGCCGGGCCTATTAACTAGTCTTTAATTTAAATTTGAGAAGTGTATTAGGCAAACTACTTCTCAGTTTTGGTTAGGCTTTTTAGACTCCCCATTGCCTCCATTTTTTCTCAAAGGAATCATGTTCGATTTCCCTGAATTTGGGTTTAATGTGTAATGTTCTGTAGCATTTGGATCTTTTTCATGAAGAAAAAGACAGATATCAATAAATTCTTAACTTTCCTTTGAAAAATTAAAGTTTCTCTGTGCAGAGCCAGGCAGCATCGTTCTAAGCTTTGGAATACCTGGGGACAATCGCCATGTTAGTGATTCTTTGATCTTTGACTTAGCATCCTATACTACAAGGGTGGCAAATCTTCTAAGCAAAGTTTGCTTTCCTACTCATCAGGATAAAAATTATCTTACAAAATAAAATTTTTTTAAAGCAAAATGGTGGTTATTGTAACATTATTTTCAACATCTCACCAATCTAACTGAAGTGATAATTCAGTGAAACTATTGTAATTTGCCAAGTCACCTGTCTAGATTGTGCCTCTTTTATCAAGCAATCTTTTACTTCTGCCATCATCTCACTTTCTGCGTGACCCACTTTCTCCCCTTTCCTCAGTCCTTCAACTTGTCTTTCATGATAACCCTCCACATTCTTAGTAAGTGACTTCCCTTCCTCCACAAGGGAAATTAAAAAACACATGACGTGAACATCCTAATTCCTGACACAAATCCACTCTTCCCAGGCAAGGACCATGCCCCTACTTAATGGCATTGGTCAGTGTTACTATTGCTATTACATATGCTTACGAATGAGCAGAAATAACAATTGGAAGCATTAACTCTCACTTCAAACAAAAAAATGACAATGTTGCTGTTTCATGTCTCCAACAGACCTTGATAATACTGACACTCGTTGTTTGGTGCTTGTAGGACCCTCTTATTTCAGATTTTGTAATCTACATGATTCCAGAAAGCATCTGATCTAAAAACGGAATTGAAAGTGTAAAATTTTAAAATGCCAAGAGTTCTGTGAGGCAGAGGTGGGCGGATCACTTGATGTCAGGAGTTCAAGACCAGCGTGGCAAACACGGTGAAACCTCTTCTCTACTAAAAACACACACACAAGCCGGGCGCGGTGGCTCAAGCCTGTAATCCCAGCACTTTGGGAGGCCGAGGCGGGTGGATCACAAGGTCAAGAGATCGAGACCATCCTGGTCAACATGGTGAAACCCCGACTCTACTAAAAATACAAAAATTAGCCGGGCATGGTGGTGCACGCCTGTAATCCCAGCTACTCGGGAGGCTGAGGCAGGAGAATTGCCTGAACCCAGGAGGCGGAGGTTGCGGTGAGCCAAGATTGTGCCATTGCACTCCAGCCTGGGTAACAACAGTGAAACTCCGTCTCAAAAACAAAAAACAAAAAACAAAAAACAAGAAAACACGCACACACACACACAAAGGAACTGGGCATGGTGGTACCCGCCCGTAATCCTAGCTACTCCGTAGGCTGAAGCAGGAGAATCACTTGAACCCGAGAGGCAGAGTTTGCAATGAGCTTAGATCAGACCATTGCATTCCAGCCTGAGAGACAGAGTGAGACTCCGTCTAAAAAAAAAAAAAAAAAAAAAAAAAAAAAAATCTCTTTTTTAAACTGTGTCTTTTTAACAATATTTGAGCACATGTTCAAATATGGTAGTACATTACCTCATAAACAATTTGGTCATTAACCTTGTAGCAAATATTACAGTTAATTTTAAAAGCTTTTTACGGCCGGGCGCGGTGGCTCAAGCCTGTAATCCCAGCACTTTGGGAGGCCGAGGCGGGTGGATCACGAGGTCAAGAGATCGAGACCATCCTGGTCAACATAGTGAAACCCCGTCTCTACTAAAAAAAAAATACAAAAAATCAGCTGGGCATGGTGGCGCGTGCCTGTAATCCCAGCTACTCAGGAGGCTGAGGCAGGAGAATTGCCTGAGCCCAGGAGGCGGAGGTTGCGGTGAGCCGAGATCGCGCCATTGCACTCCAGCCTGGGTAACCAGAGCGAAACTCCGTCTCAAAAAAAAAAAAAAAAAAGTTTTTTACATTTAGAAAGTCAGAAAGGCAGTCTTTTCTGCCTTGAATAAAGCAGATCCTCTAATATAGCATATAGTTTCTTAACTCTAGTGTGACATAATTTTGAATTAAATGTAACAAAAAGCTTTAATATTAATAAAGATGATGACAAATGTGAATGCAAAACTTTTACACATAGTGTACTGAAAACAGTGATATAGTCCAGTCAATGGGCATTAGGAAATTAAAAATATTTTGATGTGTAGATTAATTTGTAACATTAATCAAGATGGAAGACATACAAAAGAGATTAGGTTCTATGTCAAATCATACAAATTAAAATTAAACAAGATTTATTGGTTTTTATTCATAAATAATGTTCAGTTCAGCACAATTTAGATTCAAATATTTAAGCAAGGAAAAAGTCAGATGTTTTTAACTTATTTCCGCTCAAATTATGTTTTATAAGGAATTTCATAATGTATTGAAATGTGATTCCTCTTTCTGCCATTCATGTTCTTGTTACAGATTCTTGATAAGACATAGTCCTTGAGGAGAAAAAGAGAGATTTTTGAAAAAAGCATCAACTGTAGTCGTGTTTATTACAATCTTAGACTTTCAACTTTTCATATCACGAGTTATTGTTTTTATTAAGTACTAATAAGGACAAATGATCTTACTTGGTAAATAATATCACTAGTTCCCTTTTAAAAACTCAATATTATTTACTACACTACTCACCATTTGTTAATATATTTCTACGTTGTTTACCTTTTTCTCCTGAAAGTCACATTCATACTGTGCCAAAACACTTAAATAGCATATAACTTTTTTCCACCCTGATTTTAACACAGTTAGAAATAAAAATAAAAATTTTCCCTACTATTGTGTGTCTTTTAAACTTTGTTTTAATAGAGTGGTCAAAGCATCTAAAAAGCTGATTTTATGTAGTTCATATAGTTCATAGTTTGCAATTTTAAAAACAGGTACACATGCACTTTGCCACTACTTATATTTTTAATATTCTTAGTTGAACAAAAAATATAATTTCCATTTTTTTATATAGTGTCTTCAAAAAGGGTTAAAATTCTGATCCTACAAAATGGTTTACATAATTTTATATACTCTTTTAATATTTCTCTAAGAAAAGAGTCAAATTATTTTCTGTAAGTGGCAGAGGATATATTTTTTAAATTGTCGTGTGAGGAAACACTTTAGTATGTGATTTCCAATAGCTACATAAAAATGTGGTCCTGAAAATAAATACCTTATTTTCCAACCTTTATTAGTAGTGCATGAACTTATATTGAGAAGTAGGAGAAAGCGTGATTTTGTCTTTATCATAGAATATTTGTTAATTTTTGCACATTTAAACATTGCACATATAAATTAATTTATTTTTCCATTTGCCAAAATGTCACAAATATCAAATGGCAAGCATTGGTTTCACTTCAGACAATTCAGAAAGCCTGCTGAATTAATTAACACTTTCAGTTGTTTGCTTGGTATAAAAAAGAAGTGAAGAAAATATGACTATTTTTTCTTTCCAATTGCCATAAAGTACAAGTGATGTAGAACATAACATTTCTGAAATGTTGAATAACAATCTGAAAAAAAAAAAAAAACCTGTCGGTGAAAGACTCTTCTTACCTTTCTCTTGGAATACATCTTGGATATTTTAACTGCCCTCTGTCACATCGCATTCTAAGTTCAGATTCACTCATAGATAACTGAGCCATATAAGTGTTTCTTCTACAAATAAACTCAATATATTCACCATGCAAAATATGTGGTCTATTGTCAAAATCCCATTTCAGAAGTAAATTATTCTTTTCCATTTCAGCAAAAGATAATGTGCATGGCTCTGAGAACAAAAAGTGAAAAAGAAGAAAACTATCTTGATACATCTTGGTACAGAAAGGAATCATGTGTTGCCTACTCATGAGGACCTTAAAATTCCCAGGCATAAGAGTGGTTAGCCAGTTAACTAGAATTAATATTTGAGTCAGGAAATATGCTCAAACATCACAGAAAACAGTGAGCCATTTCTCTCTCTGGTCCTGGATTTGGAGAAAAGGTATTTTCTGCCACTTAGTTTTATGTCATTAGCCTTTTCAAAGATAGCAAACAAATAAAAAAAGGTATTTTGGGGGATCATTGACAGTTACTAATGGTCATTGAAATCATGCTCTTTTCTCTTTCTTCTTCTTCAGAAAGTTCGAATAAAATTCTCATGAGACAAATTATTAATTGCTGTATAGATAACATTGTACGTAAATGTAGTCATGAACTAGAGTCTCAGCACTGACCCAAGCTTTACAACCTCATGCCATCCAAAGTGGTGGACGGTTACTTCTCTTTAAAATTTCTAGTTAAGAATTATCAAGACTGGATTAAGATGTTTAAATTCTACGCATGGAAAGTATAACACTGCCATTTCCCAGATATATTAAACAAAACAGAACCTTAAAGTATATATATTAGGATACACAAAAAACCTCTTTGATTTTTTTCCCCAAAATAAAAATATTAATATTTCTAAAATATCAACTTATTTCAGAAAATGGAATTTCTTGAGTTCTTATTTGTCTCCTGGATGACCTGGCATTAAGGAATAGTTTCTGAGACAGGTAAAAAGGTCCAGAGTTGCTAATATGGCATATCAATCATATACCTGTGAATACATTAACAAAGTTATTTACAGTATTCCCTCCCCGATGGCCTTCAAGGGATACATATCAAACTGCAGTCCATGCCTGAAATGGCAGATAATGGCAAATCGTATTGTCATGTATTTAGAACATGTTTCTGTTCATGTCTTCTGCCCACAAATTTAATGCCTCTGTCACCTCTACCAAGCATTTATCATGCACTGTAGCTTGCAACTTTTGCAGTTTTAGGTGCAAGAACAAAACTAGCATGTATGTCTTTTTCCTTCTTCACACTTTCTTAGATAGAAGACTCACTGTTACTGTGGATCTTAACAACCTCAGCATACATTTTCTTTCTGAGTTGAGAATGTTCACCTTTTCACTTAAAGGAAGCACTTTATAGCTTCTTTTTTAGCGTATCTGGGGCAGGAAGGATGGAATGGCATGAGATTTTATTATACTACTTAGTGCATAATTTAAAACTTGTAAGTTGTTCATTTCTGAAATTTTCAATTTCACATTTCAGACTGCAGCGGGTAACTGCAACCACAGAAAGTGAAACCAGCTGAGAAGAGAGTACTGTGTTCAGTTATTTTTTTTTCATCACCTACTTGGTAAATGTCTTTGTGTCAAACATTATGCTGGAAGTGCTACAGGCGATAAAAACGAACAAGAATTATTGCAGTCATTACAAAATAGTTTTGAAAGTAAAGTCAAATAGTACTATAGTTTAGGATGTCATTGTTCTACAAAGCATGAGATTTAAATTAAGGGAAATTGAAAAGTTGACTCGTGGACCTTTAGCTTTCGGTTATGACAGAGTAGATTATCCCAAACCAGCACTTCTATTAAGAACCAGAAATCTGAAAAACAGGAAAACAAGCAAGAGTTTCATGGTATCAGAAAAGCTCCAAGGAACTTAGTCAAGGAATTAAGGTTCTGGAAAAAAATTTATTCAGGTGAGTTCAACATCTATGTGAGGCTGGGTGTGGTGGTTCACGCCTATTAATTCCAGCACTTTGGGAGGCCGAGGCAGGCAGATCATCTGTAGTCAGGAGTGTGAGACCAGCCTGGTCTAAATGGCTAAACCCTGTCTCTACTAAAAATAAAGTTTAAAAAAATAGCCGGGGGTGGTGGCACATGCCTGTAATCCCAGCTATTCCAGATACTGAGGCTGGAAAGTCGCTTGAACCCAGGAGGTGGAGGTTGTAGTGAGCCATGATCATGTCACTGCACTCCAAACTGGGTGAAAGAACGAGACTCTGTCTCAAAAAAAAAAAAGAAAAAAAAAAATTCTGTGAGCAATTTTTTTTTTCTTAAGGTATTTTTTGACTCTAAGTCTGAGCTGAGGGGCTAGATGATAGAGAATGGCCAACATAGGCATAGAGCCAGCAGAAGTTTTGAAAAATCTCATGGAATTGAAGATAGAAAAATGAGAATTTGGGTAAACCAAGGCAGCCAGGACTTAAAAAGTAAAGAATATAGAAGGATAGGAGGTGTAGAAATATGAGCTTCAGGCTCTGCACCAGATTTTCCCTGAGGTACTGCTTATCCTTGATTTGTATAGAGGCATAGGATGAGAAGCCAAGCAGAAAGTAAATCATAAAATAAATAAAAAGGTACAGTGGGCATTTGGGCAGTCTCCCAGTAAAGCAGAGAGAGTCAAGGAGAAAAGTTGTAATACACACAACAAATTATGTGAAGAACCGTAGAGAGTTACAGTCTGTGAGAAAAGGCAAACAGACATCTGAAAACAAACATTGAGAAAGCTTTATTTCTAATTGTATTGAAATCAACTGTCTCTACCGTAATCATTAGCCAGAGGATGAGCACTCTTCGGGGTAAGCTGACATCATTCAAACCTCCTAAAATTTTCCATAATATAATATTTAAAATTCAACTGTTAACAAAAACATCAAGAATTTGGGGTTAGAAAATAGAAAAAAAAATATGCAGGATGATCCAGTTATTGGAGTTTGCAGATAAGCCTTAATAAAAAGTATAAATGTTATGTTCAAGAAGTTGATGTTGAGATAGGATCTTTCATCAGATAACTCATCTACAAAAAGAAAATATGACATTGAAATTCCAGAAACACACAGATAATAGCTGAAATTGAGAACTTAAAAGATAAGTTTAAAGCAGATTGGATACATCTAAAGAGAGGATTATCAAACTAGAAGAAAATTACCAAATTGAAACAAAGAAATAATACAATGAAAAAATAACTAAAACACTACGACAATGAAACCAGAAAATGAGAGAAAATACAGACTTATAGAGACGATGTCATAGCAAAAAGATGTAATATGTGTATCGTGGACTCACAGAAGGAGTGGGAAATGTACATTTTAGAAGATACTAGCCAAGCATTTCTAAAACCCATGAATGATACCAAGTACATCAAGATTCAAGGAATGCTACTAACTTGATGAATAAAACGTAAAAAGAAACCCACATCAACATAAATAATTTGCTGAGATTAAAAACAAAGAGAAATGTTTAAAACAGCAGAGAAAATAAGAGATACATTACCTTCAAAAAAGTACCATTAAGAATAGCATTGTATTATTTAACAAAAACTATAAAAACCAGAAAAGGATGAAATGACACATTTTACAGCACTGTAAGAAAATAAGAGTGAGGCTACAATTCTATATCAGACAAAAATATCCTTCAAAATTGAAAGGAAATAAACACACTTGCAGACTACAGAAATAAATAAATAAATAAATAAACACTGAGAAAATAATAAAGAAATAATCGTTTTCAATCAGGAGAAACAGAGAAAACAGGAAAATGTGAGAGGCAAACGCATTGATAAATATATAGGTAAATCTAAAAGACTATTATTGTTGGAGAAAACTATAATGTCAATCATATCTTTCTGATTTAAATTATATGTAGTATTAAAATAGAGAACATAATAATATATAAAGTTGAAAGAGTAAACAAAGTTATAGTGTTTTAAAGTCTAAGAGAAGTGGTAAAAGTTCTAATTTATTTTGGATTGAATTAATAAAGATTGTTTGATATAATCTGTATGATAATGGCTAAGAAAAAAAATGACAGGAAATTATAATTAACAAGCTAATAGAAGATGAAATGGTTTACCAAAAAGTAGATGTATCCGTAAGAAAGTAAAAATATTTTTAAAAAGAGAAAATAATATAAAACAGACCGGGCAGCATGGCTTTCACCTATAATCCAGCACTTTGGAAGGCCAAAGCAGGAGGATCACTTGAGCCCAGGAGTTCAAGATTGGCCTGTGAAACATACGGTGACTCCATCTTGACTAAAAATAAAAATAAATAGCTGGGTGTGGTGGCACACACTATGTCTCTACAAAAAAAAAAATTAAAAATTAGCTAGGAGTGGTGGTGCACATCTGTGGTCCCAGCTACTCAAAGATGAGAGGTCATTTAAGCCCAATGTGAAGGCACTCCAGCCTGGGCAACAAATAAGACCCTGTCACTCTATATATATCTGTCTATTTATCTATCTGCTGATAGCCCAGCCTAGGCAACGTTAAGGAGATTCCATCTCGACAAAAAATAAAAATAAAAAAATAGCTGGGTGTGGTGGCACACACCCTGCCTCTATAAAAAAAAAAAAAAGTATACATATACATATATATATTTCTAGATAGATCTATATAGATATAAAGATATTTGGAGAGAGAGAGAGAGAGAGTCACATTTTTTGCCCAGGCTGGAGTTCCTTAGCAAGAAATATCTCTCCATATACATATATGGAGAGAGAGAGAGAGAGAGAAAAGAGAGCGAGATGGCCAACAGGATATATATCAAGTATAGTAAGATACACCTAGTATAGTAAGACGGTAGGTTTAAATGGAAAAATATTAGTAATTACTTGAATGTGTAAATGGACTAAATATTCCATTATAAAGAAAAAAATATATAAACTGCATAAGTGTATTTTAAAATAAACTATTTATTGCTTATAAGAGATGTACACTAAAAGTAAGAACCCAGAATGTTCAAAGTTATGGCATGGAAAAATGCATACTTTGTAAATGCTTTTCAAAAGCCCTTTGGTGCAGCTAAAGGAGACTTCAGGACAAAAAAAAAAAAAGCATTACTATATATGAATATATGAAGGAATATGAAGTAGGTCTTTTAAAATGAGAAAATGCCAACATACCAAGATTTAGTGTCTTAATTTATGTGTGTACCTAATGAAATAGTATCAAAATAGAAAAGCAAAACATGACAGAACTAAAATAGGAAATGTTTTAAAATGCTAAGTGAGACTTTAACATGTTTCTCTCAGTAATTGATAGAAAAACCAATACAAATTGGTACAGCTTTGGATTAACTTAAACATCAAAAAACAAAATTCAATCCAATTGGCACATGTACAACAGTGAACCCAAAGATGCCAAAGTTAACTTTTTTCAAGTACAAAAAGAACATTTACCTAAAGCAAATGTATGCCCCTTATAAAGCAAACATCAACAGATTTTAAAGTGCAGATATAATTCAAAGTGTTTCTTAATCGAATTAAACTAGAAATCGATAACGTAAAGAAAACTAGAAAATCCCATATTCAGAACTTTTAAAAGAAACTTCTAGATGGTTCAGTACACATCGAATATATCAAAATGGATATTATAAAATTTTCAAGTTGAATGGTAGTAAAAATCCAAGATATAAGAATGGGTTGGATGAAGTTAAAGTTGTGCTCAGAGAGAAATTTCTGTTTTTAAGTCATACATTACAAAAAACCATAAACGGTGAAAATCAGTAATCTGTGTATTTACCTAAACAAGCCAGAAAAAAAGAGTAATAAAACAAATACAAGAAAGTAGAAGAAAGGAAATAATAAAGATAATAGCATAATTAATAAAATAGAAAGCAAAATTTGATGAATCAACAAATGCAAATGTTGGTTGTTTGCAAACACTGATAAAATGTATAGACCCTTAGCAAGGCATGTCAAGTCAGAGACAGGTGTTAATAGAAGTAAAAACTAAACATACATCAATGAAAACCTCCAAAGGAGAATAGGAAGATGTCGTAACCACTTTATTTTAGTAGATTTCACAATGTAGTTGTTATGAAGAAATCTAGAAAACTCTCCCTACCAAAACTGACAGAAGAAGAAATAATTATCATTATTTGTTAAACAAATTGAAGCTGTTAATTTGTCTTTTCACAGAAAAACCTAAAGTCCCAGATGGCTTCTCTGGTGAACTCTTAAAATTATGAAGGAAGAAACGGCACCAATCCAGAGAATCAGAAAAGAGGGAACACTTCCCAATCATGGGTTGAGGTCAGCATAAACTTGGTATCAAGCCACAAAGAAAAATAACCAACCAAATTTTCTCATGAAAATAGATGAGTAAAATATTGATAAATAAAAATACAACAACATATAATTGCATAATGCATCATAACCTTATGGAATTTTTCATGGGAATACAATTATGCTCTAACATTAAGAAGAAGCAATATAACTTATTAAATTTGCAGGGAAAAAATGAAAGTAACAATCATGTAATTATTTCAACAGATACTGCTAAAATTAAACACCTGTTGAAGAGTCTTTAAAAATATTTTTGGCAAGAGAGAAAAAAATGTTTTCCAGTTTTTTTTATTGTACTTTATATTCTGGGGTACACTTTTCAAAAGAAGACATTAATGCAGCCAACAAACATATGAAAATATTCTCATCATCACTGGTCATTAGAGAAATGCAAATCAAAACCACATTGAGACACCATCTCACGCCAGTTAGAATGACGATCATTAAAAAAATCCGGAGACAACAGATGCTGGAGAGGTTTCTATATCTTTAACTTGATTTTTTTCAAGAGTTATTTATAACAACACTTACAGGTAAATTATTGAAAGTGTTGAGAATGGGAAACAAAAAGATATCCACTACCTCTTCCATTCAACATTGTACTGAAGTCCTAGCCAGTGAAGGAAAATAAGAAAAATAAAAGTCATAATTGGAAATAAAAAATATTTTCTTATTATTTACAGTTATGGTATTTTATGCCTCTGAGGGCCTTGGCAAATGTTATTCTTACTAGGATGCCTTGCTAATAAAACATTAATTTGCTTCATCTTTCCATACTGTGTTGTCCATTTTTTTGTTTCCCTATCGTACAAATGTTTTCTTTTATAGTGCCAATCACAATGAATGATAATTGTTAACACCTACTCACACCACTACGTCTTATTCAACTTATACCAAACTACTACCTGATGTGTGGTTTGCATTTAACCGATATTTATTAGTACAAACTGAACTATAGTTATTTATGATCTAGAGGAAAGAATAGAAACCACTGATGAAATAAGTACATGAGTAAGATAACACAAATGTAGCAAATTAAGCATTTTATCAGTGTTACGTTAACTCAAAAATGACAGCAAATTAACAATATATAGTTTCACTTTAGTAGAGTCATATTTAGCAGTACATACCTAAACACAATGGTGGTGTAGTCCACACTCCCTCTAAACAATAGGCCTCCCTAGATCCTTGTAGGAAATAGTGATCAAAACATCTGTATTCTATTGAAGACCCATTTTCATAGGCTTCTACTGTTAAACCAATAATAACGCCATGTTTAATAAGTGGAGGAGATGTGCACATTCCTTTAGATTCTGCAAAATAAGTTTTAAAGTATACAATGAATTGCTATAATGAGCTTCCAGTATTTTATAAGTGCTACAGAAATAAATTGAGACATTTTATATAAAGTCATTTTATTTTTCAGATAGAGTCTTACTTTGTCACCTAGGGTGGAGTACAGTGGGTGGCACAATCATGGCTCACTTCAACCTCTGCCTCTGCGACTCAAGTGATCCTCCTGTCTTAGCCTCCCAACTAGTTGGGACTACTGGTGTGTTGTTGTTTGTTTTTGTTTTTTTTTAAGAGACAGGGTCTCGCTCGGTTCCCAGGCTGGTCTTGAATTTCTGGACTCAAGAAATCTGACCACTTTAGCCTTCCAAAGTGCTGGGATTACAGATGTGAGCCACTGCACCTAACCTAAAGGCATTTTTAAGGCAGTCCTCAAATTTTTAAAATATTGAAAATATTTTATAATAATGTTATACCATGCAATTTATAATTAGAATCTTATGTTATAATATTTACATACTTATTTAAAACCAGCAGAGTATTAACAATCATGATTTCACTTTTCCCTAAGTGTATGGGATTCCTATAGAAGCAATGCCTTCTATAAACATTGTCTTCCTTTTCTTCTTTATTAAAAGTTATAGTCCCTATAACTGGGGATTACTGAGACAATGGGTTCCCAGAAAGCCCTAAGTAGATGCTTTACAATATTTGTTGTTCAGTGTTCACAAGAGAGTGATCAATTGTCTGAAAGTCTGGTGACATTAATAAAACTATTGATATTTTCTCTTCATAAAATTGATTTATTGGAATTAAAAGATGTCATCATGGCCACCCTATATAGGTATATATGCTGATTGAAATTTGATAATTGGATCACTTCTAACTTTATGGATCAGAAGAAGATCATAGTGAATTGGTTAGGGTAATAAGTATAAATCATCTCTAAAGAAAGTGATGTTGAGCGTTCTTTCATGTATTTGTTGGCCGCAGAAATGTCTTCTTTTGAGAAGTGCCTTTTCACATCCTTTGCCCACTTTTTGATGGGATTTTTTTTTTTCATGTAAATTTGTGTAAGTTCCCTGTAGATTCTGGATATTAGACCCTTTGTCAGATGGATAGATTGCAAAAATTTTCTCCCATTCTGTAGGTTGTCTGTTTGCTCTGATGATAGTTTCTTTTGCTGTGCAGAAGCTCTTTAGTTTAATTAGATCTCATTTGGCTTTTGTTGCCATTGCTTTTGGCATTTTCATCATGAAGTATTTACCCATGCCTGTGTCCTGAATAGTATTGCCTAGGTTTTCTTGTAGGGTTTTTTACTGATGAGGGTTTTACCTTTAAATCTTTAATCCATCTTGAGTTAATTTTTGCATAAGTTGTAACCACATTGAGATACCATCTCACACCTAGTCAGAATGGCAATTATTAAAAAGTCAAGAAACAATAGATGCTGGTGAGGCTGTGGAGAATCAGGAATGCTTTTACACTGTTGTTGGGAATATAAATTAGTTCAACTATTGTGGAAGACAGTGTGGTGATTCCTCAAAAATCTAGAACCAGAAATACCTTTTGACTCAGTAATCCCATTACTGAGTATATACTCAAAGGAATACAAATCATTCTATTATAAAGACACATGCGCACACATGTTTATTGCAGTTTACAATAGCAAAGGCTACAATATCAAATGCCCATCAATAATAGACAGGATGAAGAAAATGTGGCACATAGACACTATGGAATACTATGCAGCCATACAAAAGGATGAGTTCATGTCCTTTGCAGAGACATGAATGAGGCTGGAAACCATCATTCTCAGCAAAATGACAGAAGAACAGAAAACCAAGCACTGCATGTTTTCACTCATAAGTGGGTGTTGAACAATGAGAACACATGGACACAGGGAGGGAAACATCACACACCAGGGCCTGTCGGGGGTCCGAGGTTAGGGAATGGATAGCAGGGGATGAGAGGATTGGGAAGGGCTAACATTAGGAGAAATACCTAATGTAGCTGACAGGGAGATGGATGCAGCAAACCACAATTGCATGTGTATACCTATGTAACAAATCTGCCCGTTCGGCACATGTACCCTGGAACTGAAAGTATAATAAAAAAATAAAAAATAAAAAAAACCCCTACACATTCTGCACTTGTATCCCAGAAAACAAAGTAAAATAAAAATTAAATTAAATTAAATTAAAATGAATAATAATAAAAGAAAAATAACAACAAAAAACAAATAAATTTTCTACCCAGGTAGCAGATATTGATCAGGTAAGATACCCATATAGAGCATTATTATTTTACCTTTTTTAATACATAAAGGATATTTCACTTCTCCTCTGTTGCACCGCACATTTAACTCAGACAATGGAGTTAATGGAGATAAGTCATATCCCTGTTTACATACAAAATCTATTAAATCTCCATGTAATACTTTTCCTTCATATTTCCACTTCATCTCTATGTTATTTCTGTTCATGTAATCCACATTAACAGTACATGGTTCTGAAAAACAAAATACTCTTTTAAATTCTTGTGTGAGAAATATAAAAGTGATACTTTTAAAACAAAAAATATGACAAGTATCAAAAGCAATTTTATAAATGAAACCATCATTAAGGCTTCTCACACACATATATACATATAAGAAAAATACATACTTTATTATTATCAAATGGATCTATATATTACTTATTGTAATACACTAAAACCACTAATTTAAAACATCAAAAATACTGTTTAAGGGCATCAATCAGTTAGATTAACAATAATTTTCTATCTATAAAATAAAAACCTTGAACTACCATATTGAAAATAACAGAAAATCTCCTAATGAATAAAAGCAAGACTCCTGCCCTCATGGAACTTATCTTCTAACTGAGAGAAACAACCACAATACATAATAAATATAATAAAGATATGAATTGCATAATTTGTAGCCGATATGGTTTGGCTTTGTACCTACCCAAATCTCATCTTGGATTGTAGCTCCCATAATTCCCACATCTCATGGGAGGAACCTGGTTGGAGGTAATTGGATCATAAGTTGGGTTTTCCTGTGCAGTTCTTGTGATAGTGAATAAGTCTCATGAGATCTGATGGTTTTTAAAGGGGAGGTCCCCTGCACATGCTCTCTTGCCTGCTACCATGCTTCTCCTTTGTCTTCTGCCATGATTATGAAGCTTCCCAAGACATGTGGAACTGTGAGTCCATTAAATGTCTTTCCTTTATAAATTACCTAGTCTCAGGTATGTCTTTATTAGCAGTATGAGAACAGACTAATATGGTGGCCACCTTTAAATTACATCACAAGATAAATTTGATGAAACAAGAATATTGAAGGGGAGGGGTAAAAAAAGAGCTAGGGAAGAGAAGTTGCACTTTTCAGTAAGGTGATTAGGACAGCCAAAATAAGAATATTTGCACAAAAGCTTAAAGATGACTAGGTGAACCATGTCATTTTCTTTAAAAAAGAGTGTTCCAAGCAGAAGTAACAACCAATGCAAAGGCCGTGAAGTGAGAGCATTCTTGGCTTGTTTGTGGAAGAATAAGAAGACCAGAAAGACTGGAGTGATAAGAGCAGGGAAAAGAGTATGGAGAGGTTAGAGACTCTTAATGTCTAGAATAATAATTCTTACAGAGAAAATTCTACTCTTTATTATATCGTGTGAATTTGTACACAAATTTATAAAGGAAATCTATAAAGGAATTTATAAAGGTAATTTATAAAGGAATTTGTGTACACAGATTCACACAATATAATTGTGATAGCCTTCCCAGTTTCAATAGGTAAGCAAGATATACAAACCACCTTTCTCTTGCCCTGATAACAAAGCTTAAACTTCATTTGGTATTTGCTTTGATTCTTTAGGACCAAGCCTAACTCTCTTGAGGCAGTTGCTCCAGATATAGAACGACGTATTTCCTTAAATACATCATTGTTATTTCCTTATGAGCTTGTTTCATTACTAGCTTGGCCATAAAAATTTTAATCTAGTCTTTGTCCTTAAAGATTACTATACTTCTACTGAATTAAATATCAATCACATCAACAACTTAATATCAAAAACATTTATAAAAATATGAGAGCAACAGAAAAATTCTATGGGAATATGTATCTGAATTTGAGTGGGAACAGCCTCAAAGGATTACTTGGAAGGTAGAAACTACTAACAAAATGTTGAAAGAGCTCAATATTTAAAACTTACATATACTTAAGAACACTATAAATAAAGAGAAATTAAAAATAATTGCAATAAACATTATCAAGTGGATAATTTAATTTATATACATATTGATCTTATAAGAATGAAAAACAGCTAAACTATCAATAATTTATCCATGAAAAAAAAAACCTGTGGCCAAAAGAAAATTGAAAAATTCCAAATTAACTAATTCTTAAAAAAAATCAAATTAAAACAACTGTGCTTGCCTGCTTAACAAAAAGTCAAGATTAAAATATTCAAAGTTAACAAAGATTAAGACAATTACTACTTTAATTCACTTATGGTAGGGTTAACAAATTAGAACAAATCTTCTGATAAGCAATTTGTTAATTAATAGAAAATGAATTAAAATTACCAGATCTCATAATTATTTATTTATTAAAAAAATTTTTTTAGGAAGACAGACACTGTTCCTGAAAAAAATAATTTACTTTCCCTTCTGCTTAGAAAAATTGTTCATTATTTATGTTATTTTAGCTCCAAAAATTTTTTCAATGGAAAAACATGATGATATTAAAACAATTTTTGATGATATTATTTTAAAGGTAAATCGCTGTGAGGAATCTAAATAGATGATGCAGTGGATATATTCACATAATTTAAAGGAAAATAAGATGTAATGATGATATGATACTCAAATAATACTTCACAGTTTATAACACATTGACATTTATTTATTTTCTACAATGCTGTTGTATGGATATGACTAGCACTGGAATTTGCTTCCAATGCCAATTGGCTGCCATTTATTGAGTGTTTACTATATGCGCTATGCTTTACACACATTACCTCATTTAATCCCCATAGCAACCACATGAGATTTCTTAGAAGGCAATATTCCACTGGGTGAGATAAATCCCTGCTGTATATTAAATCTATCCAAGAAATCCAAAAAAGTGTGTTAATGCATAATTATTTTTATAAAAATAAATAAGTTAAATATGTACAAAGATTTACTTGGAAGTGTACTGTTTGGAATATAAAAATGTTGAACACCAAACATCCATCGATAAACTGGTTAAATTACATATGTTAATCTCCATTATGGAATACTAGGCAGTCATTGAAGTATATATTGTAGAAGTAAGACAAACCATGTTTATAATATATTTTGAGTGAAAAAAATCTAAGATACATACCTCTGTATCTTATGATAGCATTTTTGTGGAGTCTGTGTATATGTGTGTCTGTGCAAAACATTCAGAAGACTAGTTATTAACAAACACTTTTAATCCACAAGATGTAACAAATGCGTCATTTGGGTGAGGATGTGGTGGTAAAAGCTATTAACAATATATTCCACCAAAGAAAGAATAGGACTAATTATTCTTCTCCAAATGATATTCTGAGGGCAATACAAGCAGAGATGTTGAGGGGTATACAGTAGAGAAGGAATTTTAGGCAGGAGAAAGGCAATCCCAAAAGTAATTTGTTGCAAAATGTGAATATACTAAAATGTGAATATACTTAATGCCACTGAATTGTACACTCAGAATTTGTACACTTAAAAAGTACACTTAAAAAATTGTACATTAAAGTGGTAAATTTTATATTATGTATAATTTGCAACAATAAAAAAGAAGTAAGGGGATAATAATTAATGTAGGCCTGGATGCTGAGATTTTAGGGGCTTTCTACTTAAAGAAATGAGAGGTGAAAACACTTGAAAAAAAGGTGTATACAAAATCATCATTTTCATGATATAAAAGACTGTAAGAAAATCACATGAAACTACAAACATAGACATTCAATATGTTCTCTTTCTTACCCAAGCAAACAGGTGGGGATGACCATTTACCTTGTTCACAATGAGAGATTTTTGATCCCCTCAGTAAGTAATATTCATTGCATCTATATTCCACTGAGGATCCTGTTGTATAGCTTGCCAGTAACCCATCTCCAACAGCCCCATTCATTACAACAGGAGGATGCTTACAATTGTCAATATTTTCTAAGAAAAGAAGTTGTTTTAAAATTAACATAAGCTCATAACAATATAATATAGTAAGTCATACTATAGTGTCTCAGTATTTGTATTATATAACTTTGGACAATTATTTTATAAGTTCAGTACAAATATAAAAACGTTATTCAGTTTAAATATTTTTAAAATTTGCTAAGCAAGAGATGAGAGCAATTACGTTACCTAAAAACAACTATGCATATTTTTTCTCTTTTCTCAATTGTGAAGGAATTATGATATAGACATTTTTTAAATCTGTAGAATGAGAAACTGTTCTTTAATCTAAAGATTATGGTCAATTCTAAAATTGCTCTTTGGAGTTACCCACTTTTATTTTCTTCTTTCTCATTCCTCTTCATCTCTGGTCTCAATCAACCCATGAAGGAAATATCCATTTTTTCCCCTTTTTTGGTATCTTTCTCTTACTCTGTCAGTTTCCTTGGCATCCTTCATAGCTTTTGTCTTATTCAATAAATGTCCTAGATAAATATGTTCGTGGAGATCTCTCTCTGATCTGATCAAGAAATGAGAAAGAGGACAGGAATAGTAGCCCCCAGGAGTGATAGTGTAGCCTGGTGGTGCCCTTCAGCAAAATGAAACATCAAGGACATGCCTCAGAAAGGGATAAGGTTAAGAATGGCCAGATGCAATGCTCCACCCTAACTTTGTAGGAGAAGTAGAAGATAATGCTTATGGCCAGTCACTCAGTCCACCATGCCCTTATTTACTTCTCTAACAAAGCACATCATCATTTGTGTGCTGTCACTTAAAGCCTACAGGTCACGGCATGACACAGATCAGATAATCGTGCTTAGCACTATTGTGTTGAAAAAGGTTTTGTTTTGTTTTTTAGAAAGTTTTTTTTATTATTATAATACTTAAGTTCTGGGGTACATGTATAGAACATGCAGGTTTGTTACATAGTTATACACGTACCATGGTTGTTTGCTGCATCCATCACCTCATCACCTACATTAGGTATTTCTCCTAATGCTATCCCACCCCTAGCTCCTCACCCCGCGACAGGCCTCAGTGTGTGATAGTCCCTTCCCTGTGTCCATGTGTTCTCATTGTTCAACTCCCATTTATGAGTGAGAACATGCAGTGTTTGTTTTTCTGTTCTTGGGTTAGTTTGCTGAGAATGATGGTTTCCAGCTTCATCCATGTCTCTGCAAAGGACATGTACTCATCCTTTTTTATGGCTGCATAGTATTCCATAGTGTGTAAGTGCCACATTTTCTTTATCCAATCTATCATTGATGGGCATTTGGGTTGGTTCCAAGTCTTTGCTATTGTGAACAGTGCCTCAATAAACATACATGTCTACATGTCTTTATAATAGAATGATTTATAATCCTTTGGGTATATGCCCAGTAATGGGATTGATGGGTCAAATGGTATTTTTAGTTCTAGATCCTTGGGGAATCGCCACACTGTCTTTCACAATGGTTGAGCTAATTTACACTCCCACCAACAGTGTAAAAGCATTCTTTATATTGACTTGAATTCTATAGATGGCTACACATACACACACATACACGCATACACACATATACACACACAAAGCAGAAGAGTAGGTGCTATAGCAATGTGTTTCTAATTTGCCTAAACAGTCTATTCCTAAAATACGCATATTAAATTAAAAGAATGAAAAATTTTACACCATAAGCTTAGCTATTGATGTTAAACGCAGCACACATACCAACACACTCAGGAGGAAGTGTCCATTTTCCACGCCTGCAAGTTATCTCATTTGATCCATGGAGAAGGTAGCCACTTTCACATGCATATGTCACTTTATCCCCATTGTAATAAATCTTACAGTGTAAATTTGCTGCACCATTTTCAATGAAGGGTAGTTCCTCACAGGCTACCTTCTGTCCTTCTGAAAAGGTACAGTTAAAAGAGAAAAGACCATTTAGTCACACATGCAGATTTCATTTTAGCAAAGCTTCTTCAAGGTGTTACTAACCAATGCATTTTGGAGGTTCTGTCCATTTTCCATTTTCACAACGTATTTCTTCTGACCCATGGATCTCAAAATTAAGTTCACATTCTATATGAACTGTTTCTCCATGACAATAACTTATTGAACTTGAACATGTTTGAATTTTGGAGTTCGTGGGCAGAGGTGGAGGAGGACATCTGTTTCTTCTTCCTTATCAGCAAATTTAGTCATAGAATTACAAAAAATAATAAAGATTTAATGAAAGTGTTCATTATTTCAAGCACCATAGAAAGCATGGCAGATTGATTCTAGGAGCATTCCTTTGATCACCATCTCTTGATGTTAACTTCCTTGTGTGATACCCCTTTTCATGAGTAGGACCTGTGACTTGCTTCTAGCCCACAAAATGCAGCAGAAGTGATGGATCAGTACCTGATTATGTATACGTAATTATGTAACAAGAGATTTTAATGCCCTTCTTGCCAAGAGACTCTCACTCCTTGCTAGTTTTAAAGAAACTAGAGGCTACATCATGAGCTTCCAAAGCAGAAGGGGTGCAAGGCAAGGGGAAGTGGCCTGCCTTCAGTTAACAGCCACAAGAAACTGAGGCTCTCAGTTCAGCAGTCTGCAAGGCACTGAATGCTGCCAATAACCATAATGAGTTTGGAAGGAGACTTGCCCAGTCAAGACTCAGACGAGACTGCAGTCCAGCTAACATCTTGATTGTAGCTTTGTTAGCTATAGATACAGAGAGCTGGTTAAGCCACACCCAGACTCCCAACCTACACAGAATGGGAAATAATATCTTTATGTTGTTTTAAGCTGCTGAGTTTGTGGTGACATTGTTATGCACCAACAGAATACTAAAATTGCAGGCCTTTCAAATTCATTTCCTCCTTTAGTCCTAAAATAACTTTATTAAGTAGGAACTATTATTTTTCCCATGTTATAGATAAACTAAAACTCATGAAGTAAATAAATTTATAGCATGCAGCAGATCTGTTCTTGAACCCATGTCTATCTAAATTAAAATCTCCTGCTCTAAAATATTGACTACACTACTTCCTTATTGCTGCTGTGATGAATTACAGTTTAGTGGCTTAAAATAGCACAGATATATTCTCTTACGGTCCTGGAGGCCAAAATTCCAGATTCAGTTTCACTGGACTAAAATTGAGGTGTCAAGAGAGCTGCATTCCTTCTGGAGGCTTTGGAAGAGAATCGGCTACTTTTCCTTTTCTAGCTTCTTGAAATTACCTGTATTACTGGGCTCAGAACCCCTTCCTCAAAACATTGCAACCTGTGGCTTCAATTGTCACATCTCCTGCTTCCTCTTCTGTAGTCAATCTCCCTCTGCCTCCCTTTTATAAGAGCATTTGTGATTCTATTTAGAGTCCGAAAAAATAATTCCAGATAATATTCCTGCCTTAAGATTGTTAACTTCAAAGTGTCTTTTACCATGTAAGGTAACATTTAGTGGTTCCTAGTGTTATAATGTGGTTATATTTTGGGAGGAGTAGGAGAGATATAACTCAGCCCACAACACTACCTGTTGTATGCCTAATGACTGTTTACCAGAGAAAATAGGCAAGTTGTCATGCTGGCTAAATTGGAAGAGAGGGATATAAAAGGCCTTAAGGAGGTCTGCCATTTACTGTTGAAATAGCAACTTGGGAGACCGAGGCCTGCTGATCACCTGAGGTCAGGAGTTCTAGAACAACCTGAACATGGCAAAACCCTGTTTCTACTAAAAATACACAAAAAAATCAGCCAGGTATGGTGGTGGGTAGAGATTGCAGTGAGCTTAGATCATGCTACTGCACTCTAGCTTGGGCGACACAGGGAGACTCCAACTCAAAAAGAAAAAAGAAAGAAATAATAGGCTTTTAAAATTTTGCTTAAAAAATCTTCTCTACTACTATATTAAGGATGTTGAGCACAAATGAAAAACTATAAAATCTTTAAAGTTACAGTAGTAACTTTAGTTAGTAGTAGTAGTAACTTTAGTAGTAACTTTCAGTCCATTTAGGGAATTATGATAGTTCCCGGCAATCCCATTGCAAACCCTGGTCAGAGCCTTCATTCATTTTCCTAGCACCTGTTTCAAAATTTTCACCATTTTCTTCCAAGTTCTACCCTCATATTTTCACCTACCTGTCAATAGACATTATATCCCATATATAAAAAAATAAAAAATGACTATAAAACCCTTGCCTCACCCTATCTTTCCAATCCTCAAACTCCTATTTGTCTCTTAAGACCGAATCTAAATATTATCCATCACCTCTGTGAATGTTACTCCACAGCATACCAGTCAGAATCTCTAATGTTTATTCTGTCACTTTGTACCTGAGTTGATTGTACCATTTGTCACATTATAGAAATTATTTTTTTTCATATCTGTATATTCTGCTGCATAGGATCCTCCTATCTAGGTGTGTTTAAATAACTATGGATGTCTTCTGCATTGCCTGTTAGGCACATTTAGTAATAGAAATGTGACCATAGATATGACATTTTGGGGTAGCTTTTACTAGATGCCTCTTTTCCATTTTCACTTCTGGGGATTATTCTTTTGTTTTTTCTGCTATCTACCTCACTATTTTGGAGACTAATTTTTACATCTGGAAGTATATGGCAAATTAAGAGAAAGTATCCTTGCAAAGCTGCCAGATTGGACTAATTAGTCTAACAATTCCCAGTAAGAAAAGTTATTGGTTATAATAAGGAATTTAAAATGTATAATAGAGATTTTAAAATAATAAATTTAAAAGATATACTTATTTACAAAGTAATACAAAACAAAGATTTATTCAGATGGAATATATTAAAGATTGCTGAAAATAGCACTAATTTAAAATACAATGTTTATTTTAAAAAATAGGACCCAGGAAAAAAAATTAGGTGTCACCACAGGAATTTTGTCAGAACTAATGGAGATTAAAGCTGATAAAGACATTTTACCTTCACATACAGGAGATTCTGGGTACCAACCAAAGCTGTAGCATTGAATTAAATCTGATCCACTGAGATAATAATTTTCATCACAGAAAAACTGAACGACATCTCCTTCTTCATAGGTTTGCTTTACAGGATGAAAATAACCATTTTCAATTAATCTTAAAGAAGAGCACTTTAATTCTACAAATGAAAGAATGAATAAAAATACAGACAATTGTTTATTTTTTCTGCTAGAACCAAATTCACTTACTATTTACATGATATATCTAGAATATAAATTAAATTTGCCAAAAAAGCTTATGAATTCATTTTATGTATTTGTTAAATGGCATTACTTTTATTTTAATGTAATCTTGTGAGCTAAAATGAATTTTTTTTTTGAGAACTTTAAACTATCAAAGACTGCTATCAACATAATTAAAAATAAAGGCAAAAAGTATGGACTTCTCGGTCTTGTTTCCTCCAGCTGTGTAGTAACCAGTGGCACGTTTGTATTGTACGTTGTCCTTCACTTTGATTGTTTTCTGTGTGTGGAATAATTTCCATTATATAATTCAGGAGCCAAACATGTTTCTAAAATTACAAAAATTATTTATTTTGTAAACCTTTTTAACAACCTAGAATATTGAAAAATCTTAAAATGTATTTTTATGAATCTTAGGAATATATTGTAAAATCAACTCTTAGCAAAATGGAAAAAGAGCCCCAGGTCTTCTTTGCCTCTCTATTCTCTTTTTTTATACACCTATTGACCTAACCGTACCAGTTTTCTGTTCTTAAAATTCTGGTCTACAAGTGCTTAACCAAAGGCCAAAATTCAACTCACAGCTTGTGTAGTAGCAATCGTTAAAGTATGTGCTGTCTATGCATTTGTACAATTTAAACAACATACTAACAAAGTATACATATATTTAAATTATTGAATTATCTTTAAGTATATCTGACATTGGTTCACGATATAAAATAATGTACATGATTTTAAATTCTTCTGTAATGAAGGACAAAGTGACATACGAAGAAAAAATTTCTTTTACTCAGACGTGGTGCCTCACGCCTGTAATCCCAGCACTTTGGGAGGCTGAGGCAGGCAACAATATCAGGAGTTAAAGATCAGCCTGGACAATATGGTGAAATCTCATCTCTACTAAAAAATACAAGTAATTAGCCAGGTGCAGTGGCTGTAGTCCCAGCTATTCAGGAGGCTGAGGCAGGACAATCGCTTGAACCCAGGAGGTGGAGGTTGCAGTGAGCTGAGATTGCACCACTGCAGTCCAGCCTGGACAACAGAGCAAGACTCCCATCTCAAAAAAAGAAAAGACAAGAAAAAGCTTCTTTCATTTTATTCCATTCCAATTTAAGCCAAAAGCGTAATGTTAATATTAGCAATTTCATTTTGGAAATATCTGCATTTTTTTTAAATGGATTCAATCTAATACTGACTTTCTTTGTATTTACTATTTTTTAGTTCTTATAGTAATTTATATCCCCACCACATCTACTTCTAGGTAGCTTTGCTAAATATATCAACGACAATAACCACACTCGATGCCCTCTTTTACATGAAACTAACTCAATCAAAGCCCCCTACTCTGGGTCACCTGCCCTTAGTGGAAGATAATTGATAGCTTGACGATAGTGTAGCCTGACATAAAGTAATAAAATGAGTCAATTAGATTACCTTCTCACAAATTTGAACTCAAACTTTCATTCAAAATTGAAAAACACAGTTTTCAATGGATATCATGAGAGAAGTTGGTATACAAAGAAGAGATCAGTCTTACAAATGATAAAGCATTGGAGTAGCAATATTTCCCTTCCAGAGGCCAGTGTTTCAAGCATTTTTCTGGCATCCTATGCTTAATTATCAAGATAAGTTTTTCATTACTTAAAGTAAATTACATCTTTTCCCCTTGCAATGTGATAAATAACAATTTCAGTTATTACCCTATGCCCTTCAGCAGAGTATTATTAAAAACAGATAAAGAAAATAACATTTTAACATAAAAGCATTATTTACTGGAATTCAAATTATGCTTTCAATTTGTAGAAAGACAGTTGCTAGTTATTTTGTTTTTTTCTCTACTGAAATGTTTAATCACTTTCCATTTTCATTGGACCCATAGTTTTATAAACAAATTTCTTTGAGTATTGTAATACTGAGTTGACACATTCAGCTGACTTACTAAAGCACCTTGGTTCTGAGACCAGCCTTCTGCTATACACGTGGTTTGCCCTTCTTGTCTCGCAGTTTTGGTGGTATAACCAGCCAAGCAGAAAAATGACAATTTTGTTGTTATGTTCATTGGAAAGTAAAAGCTTTTAAAAGTGTAGTGATATTGGACAATTCTTCCATTTTCCATATGAGGAAAACCACAGGGTTTCTCTGAAATGAGCAAATGTCAAGCTGAAAATGGAAAAAAATATCTAAAAACATAAAATTCGTAATCAGATGACAAGACAAACTAATTAAAAGTATTTAGAGTAACTTCAACTAGTACTTATTTTTATTAATTTTTTTATTTTTTTGAGATGGAGTTTTGCTCTTGTTACCCAGGCTGGAGTGCAATGGCTGCGATCTCAGCTCACCGCGACCTCCGCCTCCTGGGTTCAGGCAATTCTCCTGCCTCAGCCTCCTGAGTAGCTGGGATTACAGGCATGCGCCACCATGCCCAGCTAATTTTTTTGTATTTTTAGTAGAGACGGGGTTTCACCATGTTGACCAGGATGGTCTTGATCTCTTGACCTCGTGATCCACCCACCTTGGCCTCCCAAATAACGTACTTTTGTGACAATTCAAGCAGTCCTTTTATCATAATTGCAAGTTACTTTAAAAATCCACCAGTCATGATAAAACTTAGGCGACCACTTCTTCAGGCAAGCTCCGCTAACTTCGTAGAACAGTATTTTCTTTTTCTTATTAGAGACAGAATTTTCCTTGTTATCCAAGCTTCAGTGCAGTGCTGAAATCATAGCTCATGGCCACTGGGAGCTTCTATGCTTAACCAATCCTCCTGTCCTGTAGCTAGGACTGCAGGCACATGCCACCACACTTGGCTAAAGTATGCTTTATCTTTTGTAGAGATGGGGAAGGGGGTCTCACTATGTTGCTCAGGCTGGTCTTGAACTCCTGGACTCAAAGGATCCCTTTGCCATGGCCTTCCAAAGCACTGGGATTACAAGAGATAAGCCACTGCACTGAACCTGCACTTCCTACTAGATATGTTTTGAAAGTCACATATGTAATTAAAAAATGTCTAATAGTCACATTCATAAAAATATAAAGGATGAGTTGAAGTTAATTTTTATAATATATTTTAATTGACCCAATATGTTGAAAATATTTTACATTCTCTTTTTTGGTTACTATTTAACATTCCCTGTGTATTTATAGTTACAGTACATATGATCTTGGGCTAGTGACATTTTAAGTAGTGTCTCCAATAGCTATATGTGGCTAATGCCCACTGTAATTAGACAGCACAGTCCAGGAATAGATAAAGTTTCTCCTTAACATATGCAGACTCATTAAAAATTTTCAAATAGCATTTAAAAAAAAAAAAACAGACAACAAATTAAAATGAATAGACTACTTTAGGAAGAGCTTTGCAAAACAGGATTTTTGTTTTTTTTAGACATAGTTTCACTCTTGTTACCCAGGCTGGAGTGCAATGGCGCGATCTTGGCTCACCGCAACCTTCGCCTCCTGGGTTCAGGCAATTCTCCTACTTCAGCCTCCTGAGTAGCTGGGATTACAGGCTTGAACCACCGCACCCGGCCAAAACAGGATATTTAAATGGTCAGAGAACTAGTACTTAGCGATATTAGTCATCAGGGAAATGCAAATTTAAATCAATGTGAGATAGTACTGCATATTCAATAGAATTGCTGAAATGAAAAAGACAGGCTATCTCAGTGACTGGTAAAGAACTGAAGAAACTAGAACTCTCATATTTATCCAATTGTAAGTATAAATTAGATCAAACTCTATGAGAGAACACCTTTGCAATATTTATTGGTGTAAAACATGGACAAACCATATTCCTAATTTAAAAAGCATATATTTGTATACCAAAAGACATGTAAAAGAATGTTTATAACAGCACTATTCATATAGTCCCAACTTGGAAACAATCTAAATGTCCAGAAATAGGAAAAGATAAACACATTTTACACTATGTATACAATGGAATATTATACAACAGAAATGAATGAATGGTGATTCTCATAAACATAATATTGAGTGAAAGATGCCAATCACCTATGAATTATGTATAAATTTGCATAACTTTTTACAAGAAGACAAACTAATCCATGATAAAAGAAGTCCAATTGGTTATCTTTGGGGTTTAGTGCCCTACAGGCATCAGTTATGTTTCTGGGGTGCTGTCACTGTTCTATATCTTGATCTGGATGGTGTAAAATTATGTAAAAAATTATAGAAGTGTATCCTATGATTTTTGCATTTTATTGGATATATTATGCTCCAAATCAAACACATATTTAAAAAATATATCTTTGTGTTGAAGATCTTAAAATCATAAAAAACACTTAAAGAAAGAAATGCTTGGACAACCCTAGGAGCTGTGTTGAGAAGAAACATGGGCAGTCATGGATAAAAGAAGGGCTGGATCTAGTGTGATTACTGTGGCTTCAGTGCCTAAGTTGATCACTGCATACTAATGCTACCGTGGGACATAGAATAAAAGTAATGCTAGCCTAGTTTTGAAGGAAATGGATGTGGAATGATGAGTAACTAAACTTCCAGCATCTGATGGAGCAGGACAGAAAAACACGGGCAGGAAAGTTCCCATTTTCTGAGAATTCTCACCATTTTTCACACCCAAGAACCCAAGAAATTTACAATAAAAAGGCTCTTCCAAAATAGCAATGCAATGGTGAATACACAAGGACTTTCTCTGAGGGGCACAGTTGCTTGTCAGGGAGGGGCAGCAAAGTATTCTTTGCACAACAATCCTAGGTTGTGGTTTTAAAGACTCTGTCCTGGGATATCTCTCTCCACCACCAGTCTAGGCACATTACTTGTTAAGGAGGCTTGAGTGACTTGGAGAATATGAATTCCTGAGAAAAAATTATTGAGAAATGTGAGGAATATAGTAATTATATATAAACCAGGAAATCACTGACGTCTGATCATCTAAAAAAGTATATGAAGAGATGTACACATTAGCAATCAGAGAATGGTAAATAAATAAAAATTGGATTTTACATTACAAATAATAGCATAGCAACCAGTACAAAGATGGACAATATGAGGTGATGGTGAGGATGATGAGAAGCAGCAATTGCTATCCTCTCTCGGAGATGATATACTTTGAAACTGCCATTCTGCATAAGTAATCTGTCACGACTCACAGAAATCAAGTACAAGAATAGACTCAATAATTTCACCTGTGAGTGAATACAGACTGACCATATTCTCACAGAAAGATAAGTTGGTTATATTATAATATTCATTTCAGAGCTATTTGTGGTTGAGAGAACTAGAGTAACATGTCAAAACATTATAGTAGGTCCAGGGGAAATGGACTTCAAGACTAGGAATAAGGGGATAAAATGTGTAAGTAAAGCAAGAGTGAGATCTTTCATAAGTTAATAATAATTGCATACCAGGAAATGAGAAATACAATTAACTGAATTCTTGCCCCTGAAGTTCACAATGAGAGTTGAGAGAAGCATGCAAAAATAAGATTATCGTCTCGATCTTTAAGCAGTTTACTTCTTTTGTTATGTAAAATAGCACTATAACGTTATAGTAATCAGAAAATTCAGTAGAATATTTCAATGTCTTTATCGTATAGATAACAGGCAATTATATCTGCTAATATTTCCCTATTTAGACAGAAAAATAAAATCAAAAGAAATTCATATAAAAATCATCCTATTATAGAATTAAGAGCATCAAATATGATAATTCTGTGTCTTTCACTTTTATAATTTTAATCTTAGATGTTTTGGTAGAAAATTTACAGTAAATTATTCAATTAAAATACAATTAAAACTTATATATTTAATTTCAATAAATTCCCTAAGATGTTTATTTTAGAAAAGCCTTATTGCTGTAGTTTCCTTCTTTGTATGTTCACTCTTGCTAATGCGAACTGCGTCTCTGGATTCTTCATCCTACGATCTGATAATATTGATAATTGTTTGTAAACAACATACCCATGTGCACTGCCTCCCTTATACTATCACACTAAGCATACACACTGGACAATATGATTATAAAGCGTTCTAATAGGGAATCCATAGCTATTGGTTTGTTTGGAAAGTCTTGATTTATACGTGTTCAAACAATTATCAATAGAACCCCTCTTTTAACTCTCAAAAGTGTCCCTGTTTGTACAAGCAATTATATGGTAGTCCTACTAATCAATACTTAATGTCTTCCACCAATGAATAATTCATTGGGATAAAAATCAAAGTCTCAAAAGTAGAAAATCTTGCTCATTATTTATGGCTATTTCTTTTTCAAATTTCCCACATTATGAACAGAATTAAAATTGTACAAGTTTTGTCAGTATTAGGAATGGATTCTAGCATAGATTTAGAATTAAAGTTAACATGTGACTTTGAAATGGACATACTGCAGCCTGAAAACATTTTAGAAGTATTTAGATCCTGGTCTCCTGTCCCCAAACCTAGAGATAAAAGCGTTTTTGTTTTATTTTGTTTTTGTGGCTTATGCTACTGTAATAGTAATTTTGCTCACAGGAAAAGGTTTAAATATTATTAAAAGTTATATTTATAAAAGATATGTTATAAAATTGATATATTAAAATGAAAGTATAGTAAAACTTTGGTTGTATAAATATTAGATTCTCCATTTATATGTTTTAGAGAATAAAGAATATTAAGGGTTAATTTTACCTTCTGCATAGAGTTCTCCTGAGATTATTAGTATGATGATAAAAGTTTTTCAACGTCATCTTCAGTGGTGTGCTTCACAAATATTTTAACAATTCTAGCCACTAGGAATTTGTCATTAAGTACACAATACTTCTCATGAGGAAAAAGTTAATAATTTACATCTGTCTAAGTCCTTTTGTAACAAGTCTTATATTTCACTTAAATATTTTCAAATAATTTTAAAATAACACAAC